TCGCTCCATCGCCAGGCACCAGGCTGGAGGGCAGTGGTGTGATCTCGGCTCACTGCAACCTCCACCTCCTGGGTTCAAGCAATTCTCCTGCCTCAGTATCTCAAGTAGCTGGGACTACAGGTACGTACCACTACACCCAGCTAATTTTTGTATTTTCAGTAGAGTTGAGGTTTCACCATGTTGGCCAGGATGGTCTCGATCTCTTGACCTTGTAATCCACCAACCTCAGCCTCCCAAAGTGCTGAGATTACAGGCGTGAGCTACCATCCCCAGCCCATCTTTTACACTTTTCTGTGCACACACAAGAAACCAATGTTTGAGTGCAGGAACTTAAATGAATCATAATAACCACCAATAAGTGTCTACTGAAAGTAGCATGACTATAGTTAACAATATTGTGTTGTATATTTCAAAATAACTAGAAGAGAGGATTTTTAATATTCTTACTACAAAGAAATGATAAATGTATGAGGTTATAGACATGCTAAATATTCTGAATTACTACACAGTTTATACATGTATCAGAAATGCACCTCGTACATACAATTATTATATGCCAACTAAAAAGATTTTTAAAAGTCTGCTGAATTATTGAAACTCATGTGAGAATCCACCCATTTTCAACAGGGATAAACTGAGAATGGCAGATAATTAGAGGGAGTTTCCCTACTGATTCAATCATGCTCTACAGAGGCTGCCAGACTTCAGTTTTCACAACTCTCAGCCTTATGCAAACTGCTTGAATGTCCTTTGCGAAGGAGGTGATGTATCATATGGGAAAGAAGGAGAGAGACCAGGCTGCAAGCTTGCCTTGGAACGACTTTTCTGCCACCAGCACATTTTTGGCCAAGGCGTGAAAGGAAAAACAAAACAGAAACCAACCCACTCTTTCCTTTCCTTCCTCCGACAGATGTGGAGCCCGGAGGCACAGCAGTGTGGACTTAGAGAGCTGAAAGCAACTCCAAAGTTTGTTGCTGGGTGTGGGTTTCAGAGTTTGCAACTACGTTTGTTCCGACGCCGTGGAAATCAAGCATTATGCAACACTATGAATAGGGAACACTCCCTGTGTCGCTATTTAGAAACTGGATGCCAGGCTTCCAATCCCCAAATCAATACAGCCTCCTCCAGGAGCCAGCTTTTCAGAGAATCCTGGCTTTAATGGAAGTGCTCAGCTAGTGGGAAATCAGAAGGATCTGACCCATCTTCCAGACACAAGCCTGGTGGGTGAGAGTTTCTGCTGGTGTTAGAAAGTTTGCTAGGTAGTGTTGTTCCTGAAGTGTGTGGGTGAAATGGCTTCTGCAGTTGGAGGGCAGGGACCTGGCCTGATTTATCTTTGCAACCCCCTCACTTGGGCAGCAGCCAGGACCTTGCTCCACCCTTCATCACCGCCATAGTCACTCCCCCAACAACCTTACTTCGTTCCTTTTAATCTGGGTCCGATTATCTTGTCTCATCAACACCCCCAATTCCCTTCCTCCTTGTCCTTCTCACTGAAAAATTTTCCAGCTGGGTTCTCACCTTCATTGCTTAGTTGTTAGCGGGGAAAAAATGTGTTCAGCTGTGCTAGTTGGTCTCTCTCCTTCTTTTCCATACCTCGCAAATTACTGGCAATGACCTTGCAGCATATTCTTGTTGGCTACCTGTCCAGGAGAGGAATTGTTATTAGCCCCATTAACCAGATAAGAAGACTGAGATGCAATTGTCTGTCATTGGTAGATTTTCATAACATCTTGGGAGAAATATTAGAATTATGTATGCTTTTCTTGTCAGCTAGGAATAGTTGCTGCAAATGAAATCTGGATAACGTTTTGACTCCTCACCACACCTGATTATCACTTTGGTTTAATTGGTCAAGTTTTTTTTTTTTTTTTTTTTTTTTTTTTTGACAAAGTTTTACTCTTGTTGTCCAGGCTGGAGTGCAGTGGTGCGATCTGGGTTCGCTGCAACCTCTGTTTCCCGGGTTCAAGCAATTCTCCTGCCTCAGCCTCCCGTGTAGCTGGGATTACAGGCACCCGCCACCACGCCCGGCTAAATTTTGTATTTTTAGTAGAGACGGGGCTTACCATGTTGGCCAGGCTGGTCTCGAACTCCTGAGCTCAGGTGACTCACCTGCCACAGCCTCCCAAAGTGTGGGGATTTCAAGTGTGAGCCAGCATGCCTGGCCTTATTTGGTCAAGATTTTTTAAGCCCTTAGAAAAGTGACAATAGGCCGGGCGCGGTGGCGCAAGCCTGTAATCCCAGCACTTTGGGAGGCCGAGGCAGGTGGATCACGAGGTCAAGAGATCGAGACCATCCTGGTCAACATGGTGAAACCCCGTCTCTACTAAAAATACAAAAAAACTAGCTGGGCATGGTGGCGCATGCCTGTAATCCCAGCTACTCAGGAGGCTGAGGCAGGAGAATTGCCTGAACCCAGGAGGCGGAGGTTGCGGTGAGCCGAGATCGCGCCATTGCACTCTAGCCTGGGGTAACAAGAGCGAAACTCCGTCTCAAAAAAAAAAAAAGAAAAGTGACAATAGAAAACGTAAGTGTTTATTTTCTCAGAAATCTTTGGAGGTGACACAATTGGGAAAAGGAAACTAGGGTGAAATCCCAAGTTCCTGGCTGGCTGAGCTCTAGGAATGAGATAGCGAGTTTCTTTATATCATCTCCTAGTATTATTATTAAAACATGAAATCCACCTAATCTTACTGCATGAGTTAGTTTGATCTTTAGCCACTTAGCTGTGTAGAGAATGCCAGGAGCTGTCTGTTAATTCTATTCAATCTTAACTTCTGGAGACTATGTGCAGGGATTTTAAAGATACACTGTTCCTAAATTGGGAAACGGGAGAAATCCTGTTCAGATGCATTTCTTTGCTCCTCTGTGAGCACTGCCTTCTCAAACCATTGCCAACCTCTCCACAGCTTGTCAGCAGTCCCCTTGGGCACTTCCCAAAAGTCACTTCAATTCAGTAAGAAGGGTGAGGTGTAGCAAACAGAGGCCTTGGTAGGGAAATCAGAAATGGGTGGGAGTCTGGACCCAGTCTTGCCTGATGCTAACTTGCTATGACTGACCTTTACCCAGTCCACTTCTGTGTCTTCATTTGCACAGAAAAGGAGTGGACTACTCTTGCTACTCAAAGTGTGACCCAGGGACCAGTACTATGGGTATCACCTGGAAGCTCGTTAGAAACAGAGCTGCAGGCCTCACCCCAGACCTTATGAATCAGAATCTGCATGTTAACAAGACTCTCAGGGGATCCATGGGCACACTAGAGCGTGAGAAACCCTGGATTAAATGGATTCTTGACCCTATGATTTATTTTCTTTCTTTTTGGCTGTTGTTTTGATGTGTAAATATGGTATATTATTTATGTCGTACAGCATGATGTTTTTATATAGGTGTACATTGTGGAATGGCTAAATCAAGCCGTGCTAGGTAATACATGCATTACCTTGAGCCTATGATTTAAAAATACATGTTTGGCTGGGCGCGGTGGCTTATGCCTGTAATGCTAGCACTTTGGGAGGCCGAGGCAGTGGAATCGCCTGAGGTCAGGAGTTCGAGACCAGCCTGGCTAACACGGCGAAACCCTGTCTCTACTAAAAATACAAAAGTTAGCCAGGTGCGGTGACCCACATGTGTAATCCCAGCTACTGAGAAGGCTGTGGCAGGAGAATCGCTTGAACCCAGAAGGCAGAGGTTGCAGTGAGCTGAAATCATGCCATTGCACTCCAGCCTGGGCAACAGAGTGAGACTCTGTCTCAAAAAATAAAAATAAATAAAAATACGTTAACAACTCTCATTTTCCCTCTCCCCAGGAGTGTACAGGCTAGTGACAAGACTTGGATTTGATTCCTGACACTGCACACACTCAATCAATGACCTGCTCAAGCTGCTTTCCCTAAGCATCAAAACAGAGATGGTTCTCCGGATCAATGAGAATGTCCAAACTGACTTTATATTCCCATTATAGGGAAATCGAACATTAAAGTGAGAAACGAAAGCCCAGGCCTCTAGGAGTGGAGCTGGCTCACTGTTTTCACTTTCATTTTAATTATTATTATTAATTTAAAAAAAATTTTTTTTTTTTTTTTGAGGCGTAGTTTCACTGTTGTTGCTCAGGCTGAAGTGCAATGGCGTGATCTCAGCTCACCGTTGCCTCTGCCTCCCGGGTTCAAGCGATTCTCCTGCCTCAGCCTCCCGAGTGGCTGGGATTCCAGGCATGCGCCACCACGCCCGGCTAATTTTGTATTTTTAGTAGACACGGGGGTTTCACCATGTTGGCCAGGCTGGTCTCGAACGCCTGACCTCAGGTGATCCGCCCGCCTCGGTCTCCCAAAGTGCTGGGATTACAGGCGTGAGCCACCGCGCCCAGTCCATTTTAATTACTTTTTTTAAAGTCATGAAATTGTAACTAGAACTGTTTAAACACTTTTTTATTTGAAATAAAGCGTAAGTCACTTCCTGTTAGCTTTCTTTACAACCTTGCCATGCTCTAGAAATGTTATTCAGCCTCTCATTCCAAATTCACATCCAGGTGAAGACTTTTCTCTCCAGTTCGCAGCTGGGGACGGATAGGTAAACAAAAAAGTAGTTGCTGGGCTGGGCCTCGGAGAGAGCACACCCTACAACGCCAGCTGAAAACCAGCGCTGGGAAACTGCCGGTCCTAGCGCCACCGAAACACTCTTCCTCCGAGTCTCCGCCTCCTCCTGACGGAAGCCGCGGGAGGCGGAGCTAGCGACGCGAACGGGAACCGCCATGCTTCCCTGGCGCTTCAGTTTCTTGCCGGACGCTAAAGCCCGACGCACAAATCGAGAATGGACCATTCTTTTAACTCATCCAAACTCGAAATATTCGCCAGGAAATCTACAGAAAAGTTCCAGAAGCATCTTTTCATTCATATTCTATAATACTGGAAAGCTCAAGATGTAAAAGAGCACTTTAGGACAAGGCATTCTGCTTCCTCCTTTCAACTTTGAGCCTGAACTACTTGGGCTCGCCTATCGTCACTTCCGGGAATCGAACTGTGAATTCCGGAAACTGCGCGCGCCGAGCCAAGAAGGTTCTTAACGGCGGTTGTGTTGCCATGGGGCGGAGGAGAGTCCCGGCCGGTGGGTCGCTGGGACGGGCCCTTCTGCGCCATCAGACTCAGCGGAGCCGAAGCCATCGTCATACTGACTCCTGGGTAAGACAGACCATGTCATCTGTCACCATGTTTTCTGTCTAGCCTGAGTGTTGCAAAATTCCGGGTCAAAAGTCTGATAAGTTTTCCTGGATGGACGCCTCAGCCGGGTTTGGAAGGATGAGTTGGAGTTTTTGCGAGGCCGAGTATCAGGTCCTCCTCCTCCTGGCAAGGTCCAGAACGCAAAGGTAGAAGCGGCTTGAAAGGAGGATTAGTGTGGTGATGAGGCGGGGAGTGAGAGAGGCGTGGGGTGAGAATGTGAAGACTCTTCAATGCCTGAATGTGTTGAGTACGTTTGGGTTTTGCCCTAGAAGCCACTGGAGTGCTTGGAACTTAATGAGCAGGAAAAAGACAAAACATATTTTTGTATTAATTTGTTCAAAGAATGGATCTTCCAGAAGCGATTGGTTACTGCCAGAAATACAAAATTCAGATACTTGCCTCACCCCTGCGAAGCACCCCCTAGTGGTTTAGCTCAAAGATAAATCATTCATTTCTCAGGTGTGACAGGACCTAATGTTTTACTAGGTTACAGAAGGATCTTTAAGCAATGATTGAAGTGATTTGGCTTGTGTTAATCATTCTAGTCGTTGTTTTCACCATTCATTCCCCCAGGAATGAATGATAATGTATTTCGTTCTAAGATCGTGTACTAAAGTATGTCCCTGGAGCTAACTAACCACGTGCCATTCAACAGGTCAGAGTTACTCTGGACCAGAGTAACTCTAACCTGATGAATACCGATAAGCACTGTATGGTGCTTACTCTGCAGACTACAGAATGGATGAAAATCAGCTGGTGTGACAGTGGCACATGGTTAGTTAGCTCCAGGGACATACTTTAGTACACGATCTTAGAACTCGGTACATTCTCATTCATTCCTGGGGGAATAAAATCCACCTCAAAAGATTTAAAAAATTAATGAAATTGTGAAAGAATGTGCTTCTTTAAGTATTAACTATTAATAGTATTGATTCTAAAGGGGCTACAGCCACCCTCGAGACCACAGACTAATTGCAAGGAAGTTTAGAGCTTACTGGATGCCAAGAGCAGAAGAGAGCAGCTGGGTTTATTACCGTGTGTTTTTTCATAGTTGCACACAAGTGAACTCAACGATGGCTATGATTGGGGTCGTCTTAATCTTCAGTCAGTGACTGAACAGAGCTCTCTTGATGACTTCCTTGCTACTGCCGAACTCGCAGGAACAGAGTTTGTTGCTGGTAAGCTGTTTATTGCTGAGTACACGTGACACTGGTCACATTTCCATCTGGGGCTGAGGTTTTTTTTTTTGTTTGAGGCAGTGTCTCTTGCCCAGGCTGCAGTGCAGTAGTGTGATCTTGGCTCACTGCAGCCTCCACCTCTTGGGTTCAAGCAATTCTCTTGCTTTAGTCTCCTGAGTAGCTGGGACTACAGGCGTTGCACCACCGTGCCTGGCTAATTTTTGTATTTTTTAGTATAGATGGGGTTTCACTGTGTTGGCCAGGATGGTTTTGATCTCCTGACGTCGTGATCCATCCGCCTTGGCCTTCCAAAGTACTGGGATTACAGGCGTGAGCCCCACCATGCCTGGCCTGACTCTTGAACAATGAGAAGCTGTTAGAAGGACAGGTGAGATGATATCAGACATTTTACACAGACAGGCAGAGGACTCGAGTCAAGATGGGAAGCAGCAGCCAACTGCGTTCAGAAAATGGATAGAAGTTTGGCTTTGGTCATGCGGGGGACAGGATGTGACAGGGACAGGATGGGATGAGTACAGGTGCTGAGGAGGTGGGCAAGGGCCAGATTCTGGAGAGAACAAAGGTTTAAGGGCTTTAAGCAAGTGTGCAGTGTGATTTCAGATTTCATTTTTTAGTGTTTTCGAGCGGGGTGAGTGGGTTCCAGCTTTAATGAGCTATATAATTGGCAACTAAAAATTGTATATAGTTATAGCATATAATAAGATGTTTGGTTATAGGTATACATTGTGAAATGATTACAGTCAAGTAATGAATGTATCCATCACCTCACATTGTGTGTGTGTGTGTGTGTGTGTGTGGTGAGAACAAGATAGACTCTCTTTGCAAATTTCATATTATTAACTAGTAGATACGTTGTTATTAACTGGGGTCACCAGGCTCTACATTAGATCTCTAGAACTTACTCATCCTGCCTCAGTAAATTACTATTTGATCAGTATTTTCCTATTTCCCCCATTCCCTAGTCCCTGGCAACCACCATTTTCTCTCTGCTTCCATGAGCTTTACTTTTTTAGATTCCACGTACAAGTGAGATCATGTGGTATTTGTCTTTCTGTGCCTGAGTTATATCATGTAGCATAACGGTTCATTCGTGTTGTCACAAATGTCAAGATTTCCTTTTTTTTTTTTTTTTTTTGCAACATAAGATTTTCTTCTTTTTATTTTTTATTTTATTTTTTGAGACGGAGTTTCGCTCTTGTTGCCCAGGCTGGAGTGCAATGGCGCGATCTCGGCTCACCGCAACCTGGGTTCAGGCAGTTCTCCTGCCTCAGCCTCCTGAGTAGCTGGGATTACAGGCATGCACCACCATGCCCAGCTAATTTTTTTTGTATTTTTAGTAGAGACGGGGTTTCACCATGTTGACCAGGATGGTCTCGATCTCTCGACCTCGTGATCCACCCGCCTCGGCCTCCCAAAGTGCTGGGATTACAGGCTTGAGCCACCGCGCCCGGCCTTGATTTTCTTCTTTTTAATGCAAAATAGTATTCCATTGTGTGTATGTATATGTATACATATACCATGTTTTCTTTATCCATTTATACACTGATGGGCATTGAGGTTGGTTCCAAATCTTGCCTATTGTGAATAGTGCTGCAGGGAATATGGGCATACAGGTATGTCTAATGGCTACATGAATTTTTTTTTTCTTGTTGCCCAGGCTGGAGTGCAATGGCGCAATCTCAGCTCACTGCAACCTCCGCCTCCCGGGTTCAAGTGATTCTCCTGCCTCAGCCTCCCGAGTAGCTGGAATTACAGGCATGTGCCACCATGCTCAGCTAATTTTTGTATTTTTAGTAGAGATGGGGTTTCACCATGTTGGTCAGGCTGGTCTTGAACTCCTGACCTCAGATGATCTGCCTACCTTGGCCTCTCAGAGTGCTGGGATTATAGGCGTGAGCCACCACGCCTGGCTGCTACATGAGATTGTATTTTTTAAAAGATCACTGATGAATTTTAAGGAAGCAAGATGAGTTAGGAGACCTTATCATTTTAGTCTAGCAAGATTAACAGTCCAGAACTGAAATAGAAGGAGTAGAAGAATGGAGAAAATAAGAGGAACAAGAACACTTAAGGAGCTGGAGTAAACCAGACTTGATGGAGAGGGTGGCATAAGTGAAAAAGAGTGAAGAGACAAAAGTAAACTCCTGGGTTTCACAATGAAATACCGCTTCACCCACTAGGATAGCTAAAATAAAACAGAGTGTAACAAATGTTGGGGAATTTGTAAAGAAATCAGACCATCATACATTGCTGACAGGAGTAGAAAATGGTGTCGCTGTTTTATTTTTATTTTTATTTATTTTTATTTTTTTGAGACGGAGTTTCGCTCTTGTTACCCAGGCTGGAGTGCAATGGCACCATCTCGGCTCACCGCAACCTCCGCCTCCCGGGTTCAGGCAATTCTCCTGCCTCAGCCTCCTGAGTAGCTGGGACTACAGGCACGCGCCACCGTGCCCAGCTGATTTTTTGTATTTTTAGTAGAGATGGGGTTTCACCATGTTGACCAGGTTGGTCTCGATCTCTTGACCTCGTGATCCACCCGCCTCGGCCTCCCAAAGTGCTGGGATTACAGGCTTGAGCCACCGCGCCCGGCGTCGCTGTTTTATTAAAAAAATTTTGGCGGTTCCTCAAAAGGTGAAACATGGAATTAGCATATGATCCAGCAGTCCCACTCCTGGGTCTATGCCCAAAAGAAATGAAAACATGTACAAAAAACATGTATATGTGTATTCATAGTGGCATTATTTATAATAACCATAAAGTAGAAACACCAAAAAGTCCTAAATAGGCAAATCTGTAGAAAGTAGATTATTTCCCCCAGTTACCTGGGGATGGACAGTGACTGCTGATGGGTAAAGCTTTCTTTGGGGCGACGAAAATATTCTAAAATGGATTGTGGTGATAGCCGCACAACTCTGAATATGCTGAAAGTCACTGAATTGTGTGCTTTAATGGATGCATTGTATAGTATGTGCATCCTATCTTACTAAAGTTATTTTCTTTTTTAAGTCGGTAGTAACCTCTGCCAGAACAGTGTTAGTGGAGTCACAGAGCCGTAAGTGGAATCTAGAGAAACAGAAAGTGGAAGTTGAGGACATCAGGGAATGAGCATGTTGTATTCTTCTGAAACAGTCGACTGTGGCAGGGAAAGAGAAATGTAAGGGTGTGTGTGAGAAGCATCAGGGTTAATGGTAGTATGTTCTTAGGTTATGGGGTGAGACAGTTGAGGGGGGTTGGAAAGTTTGCTTTGGCAGTATCTGTTATAAGTTTATAGATGCAGGCTGGGTGCAGTGGCACATACCTGTAACTTCAGCACTTTGGGAGGCTGAGGTGGGTGGATCACCTGAGGTTAGCAGTTTGAGGCCAGCCTGGCCAACATGGCAAAACCTTGTCTCTACTAAAAATACAAAAATTAGCCAGGCATGGTGGCACAGGCCTGTAGTCCCAGCTACTCAGGAGGCTGAGGTGGGAGGATCACTTGAGCCTGGGAGGCAGAGGTTGCAGTGAACTGAGATTGTGTCACTGTACTCCAGCCTGGGTGACAGAGTGAGATCTTGTCTCAAAAAAGTATACAGTTGCATATCCTATGACCTAGCACTTCTCAGTGTCTACCCTAGAGCAGCAGAATTGCTCAGAGAACTCTTTGAAACAGATTCCTGGTCTCATCCTCTAGACTCTAGAGCATCTAATTCAGTGAGTGTGTGTTAGAACTGGAGCATTAACATTTTTAACAAGCTCCCAGATGATGGTGTATTTTCATAATGAAAACTTGGAAACTGAATGTTCCAATAGCAGGGAAAATGGCTAAATAAACTGTGATATAGTCACAGTATGAAATCCTGTGTGGCAGTCGAAAACAGTGTCGTAACACTTGGCATGAAACTTCATTTGGAAATAATAATTTATACAAGGCTAGAAGAATCTAAATCAAGAAAGCTGAAACTCTCTTAGGGGCTCTCATTTGTAGTTTTCTAAGTTTATCAGTATGACCCACACTCTGTATGTATTGCCTCTTTTTTTTTAGGTGGAATCTCGCTGTGTTGCCCAGTCTGGAGTGCAGTGGCACGATCTTGGCTCACTGCGATTTTCCTGCCTCAGCCTTCTGAGTAGCTGAGACTACAGGCACCCACCACCATGGCCAGCTAATTTTTGTATTTTTACTAGAGATAGGGTTTCACCATATTGGCTAAGCTGGTCTCGAACTCATGACCTCAGGTGATCTGCCTGCCTCAGCCTCCTGAGTAGCTGAGACTTCAGGTGTGTGCCACTGCACCTGGCTAATTTGGTGTTTTTAGTAGAGATGGGGTTTTACTGTGTTGGCCATCCTGACCTTGTGATCCACCTACCTTGGCCTCCCAAAGTGCTGGGATTACAGGAGTAAGCTACTGTGCCTGGCCCTATATTGCCTCTTAAGTAATAGTACTTTTCTTTATTTCAACAGAGAAACTCAATATTAAGTTTGTGACGGCTGAGGCTAGAACTGGACTGCTATCTTTTGAGGAGAGCCAGAGAATTAAGAAGCTCCACGAAGAAAATAAACAGTTCTTGTGTATACCAAGGAGGTGAGTTGAAGAAGAATTTAGAATGCCACAAAACATACAAGACCACTGAGTATTAGTTCTTTTTCTCAGCTGCCACGATTAGATCCAAATTCCCCTATTTCGTTTTGGTTACTTCTGTGTGGAATTTTTTTTTTTCTTCTATGATTGTTTCAGACCAAACTGGGACAAAAACACTAGCCCAGAAGAACTCAAACAGGCAGAGAAAGATAACTTTCTAGAATGGAGACGTCAGCTTGTCCGGTGAGTATTACAGACTCTGTGAATACTTACCTTACGTTGAAATCCTGAGTTCAGACATTTGGCGTGCGTGTGTGGCCATTTGCATTTTGAAGTTTTGATTCTTTTAAAAAGGAAATGGTAGCATTCTACTAACAAGTGCAAATAGATATGTGTGCAAAAACATGCTAGGTGCATATTCATCCTTGCACAGAGATGGTGAGTTGGTTACTCTGTTCAGTTCCTGGCCTTTTCTTTCATTCCCTTCTTTGGCCATTGGGCACCCTGGAGTTGATCACTGTGCTCCTGCACTTTTTTTTTTTGAGACAGAGTTTCGCTCTTGTTACCCAGGCTGGAGTGCAATGGCACGATCTCGGCTCACCACAGCCTCCGCCTCCTGGGTTCAGGCAATTCTCTTGCCTCAGCCTCCTGAGTAACTGGGATTACAGGCACTTGCCACCATGCCCAGCTACTTTTTTGTATTTTTAGTAGAGACGGGGTTTCACCATGTTGACCAGGATGGTCTCAATCTCTTGACCTCGTGATCCGCCCGCCTCGGCCTCCCAAAGTGCTGGGATTACAGACTTGAGCCACCGCGCCTGGCCACTCCTACACATTCTTTCAGTAAGAGTTGTGGGAAGGAAATGACTTTGTGTGACAGATAAACTTCCCGGGCATAAATAGCTTCAGTATAAAATTTGAATTTGGTGGCATATTGTATAAATAAATAGTATTTTTATGGTGTCTCAGCAGGAAATACATAAAATAATTTGACCCTCGATATTTGTACACAATACTTATTTTTAATGTAATGAATTTGAGCATTTACACTGCTAAAAATTGTCTGTTGTAATCTGGCAAAGATACAAACTTCTCACTGAAAAACTAGGCTAGAAGAGGAACAAAAGCTGATACTGACTCCATTTGAACGAAATTTGGACTTCTGGCGCCAGCTCTGGAGAGTCCTTGAGAGAAGGTAAAGTACCGTTTTCTGTAATAGACATGTTGTAGTGACGTTGTATTAGATTTGGATGTTGATATAGGCTTATAGGCTCAGGGTATCAGGAATTAAGTTATGCAGAGGGTTACTAAGAATTATAAAAAGTATGATACTGTCATATATTTTGTATAGTTTTTTGTTATTAGAGAAATATGTTGATAAGTGTGTGAGAATATTGAATATTTTCTGTAGGATGAATTCTGAAGCATCTATATAGATATTTTAGCAAACGTATATTGAGTGTCTACTGGTAATATGGAAAATATGTGTACAAAAAGAGTTAAGTGCCTGCCTGCAAAGAGCATATATGTTAAGGGGAGAGGCAAATGTCAAAGCTCATGTCAGCCGACTTTCACCACGGTCAGCTAAGCGCTAAGCAAAGCAACTGGCACCAGAGGCACACAGGTGAATGAATGAATGAATGAATTCTCGCACTCAGAGAACTTGATACTTAGTAAAATACAGAGGGCGGTATAATTCCTGCTTTGCTGCAGATAGAAAGTGAGCCGAGTCATAGCAGAGGAAAGAGCAGTTGATAAGTATTGAGGAAATCACGAGCATTTTTTTTTTAACTGGGCTCTGAAAAGAAGAGAATGATTTTGACAAATTGAGAATGGAAGATTTTTATTCCTTTTCATATAACACTAAGGAGAATTCCTGATTATTAGAAGTTGACGAATCAACTGTCTCTAGTCTCACCTCTTTGGTGTAGTTAAAAGGTTTTTGTTTTCCTCAAGGAGTTTCTGAATTACTTTCAAGGACTTCATAAATGAACCTTGTATTTGAAATGATGTTTTTTACCAAGGACCCTTCAGGCTGGTTTTTTTTTTTTTTTTTTTTTTTTTCCCCTTAAATCTATAAAGTGAACCTAGCAAGAACACTAGGAAACAATGTTTTAACTGGGATTCTCAGAAAGAATCTTACCACATTTAGTGTTGTAATTAAGAAAACGGCCCAGCTCACGCCTGTAATCCCAGCACTTTGGGAGAGCAAGGCAGGTGGATCACTTGAGGTCAGGAGTTTGAGACCAGTCAGAGCAACATGGTGAAACCCTGTCCCTACTAAAAAGGCAAAAATTAGCCAGGCTTGGTGGTCCGTGCCTGTAATCCCAGCTACTCGGGAGGCTGAGGCAGGAGAGTCACTTGAACCCAGGAAGTGGAGGTTGCAGTGAGCCAAGATCGTGCCACTGCACTCCAGCGAGACTGTCTCCAAAAAAAGAAAACAGGATTCGGATTAAACTTGTAAAAGTCACTTACGTTTCTAATTAGCGTGATGACAGTTAAAGTCACTTAAATACCCCCATCCTCTGCTCTCTGAGGGTACAGAAAGGGCTCTTGGGCTGGGATGTGGGGAGGTCAGAGAAGCAGGGCACACCTCTGAGGCGGAAGAGAGGAAAAGCTTACTGCTGATTACCAGCTCCACGCAGTCTCCTTTTACTCAATTAGGCTTGAGGAGCGGGGCAGAACCATTCACCCGGGGAACTGGGCAACTTCTGTGGAGCCGAGTAGACTCTTTGGTGCCTTCTTGGTAGTTGAGGCTGTGTGCTCCTGAGAACACCCGTTTTCTTATTTCCAAAGAGAACTGGTAACAAGCATGGAAGTACTGCAGCCTGGACCTTGAGGGGAGCCCCCTCCACCTTCACACTCCATTACAGTTTTCAGAGTTTTTCCTGCTTCCCCTATTATCTGTCTTTCCTCTTTGTTGCTTTTCTCTTTATTCTGGTTTCTGACTGTTAATGGAAGAGGCCTTCTTTTGATGTCTAGTGGTGTTTGTCTGTCTGTATCTAAGAACAAAGCATTACAAAGCCGATTGACAGGCCTCCCTGTTGAGGTGGAATTCGCCAGATGGTGAGCTTCGCTGTAGGGTGCCTGGGCAGGAGTCAGTTTTATTTTGTAGGAATACCCCAAGATGTTAAGATCTGTCTTTTCCCCAGAGCCAGTCAGTCTTTCCCCACCCCCACCTCCGCGACTCCCCGCCGCCCCCCAGATGGAGTTTTGCTCTTGTTACCCGGGCTGGAGTGCAATGGCACCATCTCGGCTCACCACAACCTCCGCCTCCTGGGTTCAGGCAATTCTCCTGCCTCAGCCTCCTGAGTAGCTGGGATTACAGGCACGCGCCACCATGCCCAGCTAATTTTTTGTGTGTTTAGTAGAGACGGGGTTTCACCATGTTGACCGGGATGGTCTCGATCTCTTGACCTCGTGATCTACCCGCCTTGGCCTCCCGAAGTGCTGGGATTGCAGGCATGAGCCACCGCGCCCGGCCCTCCAGTCAGTCTTGAAAAGGAAGAATGACCTCCTGGCAGGAAAGGGGCAGGAGGTGGTATAATACAGTGCTGCTGGGCATCTTCACAGTTCAGAATCTTCAGAGGCTTGCGTTTCATTCCCCTTTTTGCACTGTGGCAGCTCTTTCCCATTTTCCCTGTATTTGAGGTCCCAGTCCTGGAATGTCTCAGGTTCATTTTCTCCACAGGAAAGTCCAGCCTTCTGCTGTTGGGGTGGGGAAGCCGGGCTGTGTGATGGGTTGTAGTTGCCTGTCTGAATGGAACAGAGGAGCCGACCTACAAGCTCACTGTTCGGGCTGGTTACAGGCCCAGGCCTCATTCTTGCCCTTGAGAGACAGCTGATGCTTCTGTTCCTGGGTTTGCTTTATTGTCTGGGGCATGAACAGGTTTGCTTCTTACTGGTTTGATATTTGGTTGCTGCTGTTCTTTCTCTTTATCCTAATGAATTTCAGCCTTTGTTTTTGTAGGTTTTGAGAGGGAACAGAGGTAACCATCTGTGCTGACTTTAACAGGAAGCCCCTCTTACACTTTTTACACCCCTAAATAACTTCCCAAGTGAGCCTGTACTTCTTGAAACTTCTAGCTTCAATTGGATTACAGTGTTACTTACTCTGTTATTTTTATGTGGTATTTCTCCTTTTTTAAAATAAGAGAACATGTTTCCTAACTCAAGGAATATAGTTGTCAGAAAGTGGATCTGAGTTACATAGAAATATTTATTTAAAAAATGACTGCTGCCACATCTTTGAATGGGAAATATTTATTGATATCTTCTCCACAGCAGATGTCTCCTGATTGGTAACAGGCTGGCTAAGCCATCTGCCTCTTGAATTCTAATCGTAGTGGTCAGAAAAGATTAGATGTATAATATGTCGTTGAAATGCAGGAAACTGCAGAGGCACTGAGGGCAGAATACTGTATTCCAGGAAGATAAGGCACTTCCATTGTTCAGCATTGACCCTGCCTGCTACGTGGCTGGCGCTTTGTTCTACGTCCTCATTCAGCACATGGAGCAGCTGTCTTAAAATGCCTTCTTTTCTTACTGGTGTTTCTAAACTGACTGTTCTTTCTATATGTTCAGTTTGTCGACATAATGTTTGTAGACGTTGTGGCTTTAGTTGATTAGGCTTTGTCCATTTTTTGGCAATCATTTTTTTATTTACTATTAAATATCCCATTTGAAAGTGAATGCTTATCTTAAAGGAAATACTAGAACCAGCTTAACTAGAGAAGTTAAAAAACAATTTGTCCAAAATTAGCAAGTCTGTGAGTTTCTTTGCATCACAGGATTATGTTAAAATTTTAACTATTCTAAAAGAAAATGGACTTTTAATGTCAAAAGTGTGTCCTAAATGGTAACCTTAAGTCCTTGGTGTTTAGCATATTTGCAAAGTTGCCCCAGAAAAGTCTGGTTAGCAATCAGGATTTTGAGGAGACCCTGCTGTGAGGTAGAAGTCATGCATCTGTAGCTTACTTCCTTCCAGTGGCAGTCATGGTGGGACTTTATAACATCTAGCCTCAGAGGCTGAAGGAAGGGAGGAGCCTCCCAGAGAAGCGAATTTTTTTTTCTCCTTGCAGTGCTGGAGACCTGTAGTCCCCACTGTATTTGTGAGGGCTGTGAGGGGCTTGCCATCAGCTGCAGGTTGCCTTATTGCCATACCTCCTTATATGTGATGGAAGAAGTTGGACTTGCCCTTCCTGCTTCAGCCGGGCACCCTAACTCGATACTTTCCTGTTTTGTGGTATTGCCATTTAAACACATTCTTGTAATTGGTAGATGATTGTTTCCCAAAAATATGCTTTCTTCTTATTATTCCTGGGTTTCAATAAGATACTAGTTTCAATAGTGGCAGGTGTCAGCGAGTGATGTACTAGTTTTCTTTTGAGGCCTTAACATGAATGCAGATTAGGGATTGAATATTTAGTAGACTTCACCTTGGAGCAAAGTATTTGGAATACCATTTTATCTCACCAGGAGAGTTTCACAGAAGTACAGTGGATGTTTTGGCAATGAAACATCATCTGAACCCCTCTAGGCTGTATGAGAGCAATAGCATGTTATGATTAAGAGCAAAACCTCTGGTCCAAGCTGCCTGGGTTCCCATTCTAGCTGTGTTACTTATTAGTTGGTGGCTCTGGGCAAGTTACGTGAGTGCCCTGAGCCTTAAGTCACTCATACATAAACTGGGAATAATTATACCTTAAAAAATTAATATATGGGCCAGGCGTGGTGGCTAATGCCCGTAATCCCCGCACTTTGGGAGACCGAGGTGAGCTGATCACCTGAGGTCGGGAGTTCGAGAGCAGCCTGACCAACATGGAGAAACCCCGTCTCTACTAAAAATACGAAATTAGCCAGGTGTGGTGGTGCATGCCTGTAATCCCAGCTACTTGGGAGGCTGAGGCACGAGAATCTTTGAATCCGGGAGGCAGAGGTTGCAGTGAGCCTTGATCGTGTCATTGCACTCCAGCCTGGGCAACAAGAGCAAAATGCCATCTCAAAAAAAAAAAAAAAAAAAAAAAATTAATGTATGTCCAGTGCTTCATATATTGCAAGTGTTTGCTACTCTGGCCATTATTATGTGGTTAATAATCCCTTTCACTTCACAGTGATTGGTCTATCTCATGTTTGTTTTTCAGTGATATTGTGGTCCAGATAGTAGATGCTCGAAACCCACTCCTGTTTAGATGTGAGGATTTGGTAAGTCAAGTTTGACAAAATTCAAACGTAAGTCCTTTGAGTAGCAATGAGAGGGCGGCGTCACTCAGTGCAGTAACTGTAGGCATACATTCTTTGCTCTCTAGCTTTGTTTAATTAGGCCTCCTCTCCTTCCGGGGTCCAGGGCTTACATAATGCCACTGTTGAGACAGATGTTTTCTCTTCTCAAACAATTCTATCTGCAAGAAGGCACAGACACTTACATGGGCTTTCTAGTTTTTAGTTTAGAAGCCACTTAATAGGCATTTGCCAGTTTCCCATTTTTCAGGAAACACCCTTTGAAACAGCATTTTATGTATTTTAGCATATTGCTGGTCACTTCACTTTTTTAATTCATCCCATAAGGTCTCTCTTCTCACACTTCAGTTATGACTCCCTGTGGTATTTTACAAGTGAGCTAAGTTTATGAAACACCACAGGGGTTAATAACTAAGGTGTGAGAATCCCTTGAGATAACGTAATAAAGCTTTGGGTTAGTTAACAAAACACTGTATAACATGTGAGGTATTCATATTTCTTTTTGAGAACTGTAGTACATGTTATTCTTTATTATTACTTATGTAATTTTCTGTAGAGACAGGATCTTGACATGTCGCCCAGGCTGGTCTCCAACTCCTGGGCTCAAGCAATGCTCCCCGCTCCACCTTCCAAAGTGCTGGAATTACAGGCGTGAGACCCCATGTCTGGCCCGGATTATTTTTAAATAACAAAAATATTAATGGTAGGCTGGGCACCCACCATTAATGTTTTTGGTGATTACATGATGGTGATTACACGATCACGCCTGTAATCCCAGCACTTTGGGAGGCTGAGGTGGGCAGATCACAAGCTCAGGAGTTTAAGACCAGTCTGGCCAACATAGTGAAACCCTGTCTCTACTAAAAAACTTAAAAAAATTCGCTGGAGAGGGTGATATGCGCCTGTAATCCCAGCTACTCAGGAGGCTGAGGCAGGAGAATCACATGAACCCTGGAGGTGGATGTTGCAGTGAGCCGAGATCACGCCATTGCACTCCAGCCCGGGTGATAATGCGAGACTTCATCTCAAAAAAAAAAAAAAAAAAAAAAAAATTAATGGTGAAACTTCTTTTCAGAGCTTACTGAAAGGTTTAGTATAATGCATCATGATTAAAGATCTTTAAATTTAGGATGTGATTTAAAACTGGGGGCAGTCTGTAGGAGTTGGGTGGAAAAGAGAAGAGAAAAACTAGGGGCAGCAGTAGACTTTTACTGGGATCTTCCATATAATTAGCTTCATTTTTCCTTGTTTGAAGAGGTCTTTCTAAATCTCTTTGTCTTGCTTAGGAATGTTATGTGAAAGAAATAGATGCCAATAAGGAAAACGTCATTCTGATCAACAAGGCAGACTTGCTGACTGCAGAGCAGCGGAGTGCCTGGGCCACACACTTTGAAAAAGAAGACGTGAAGGTTATTTTCTGGTCAGCTTTGGCCGGAGACATTCACCTGAATGCTGACTCGGAGGTAATCTGTGGGACTTTTTTTGGTTGGGTTTCAAAGAGGAGGGTTTTGATTTCTCATTAATATGCTTTGTTTGGCCAGGCGAGGTGGCTCACGCCTGTAATCCCAGCACTTTGGGAGGCCGAGGCGGGTGGATCACGAGGTCAACAGATCGAGACCATCCTGGTCAACATGGTGAAACCCCGTCTCTACTAAAAATACAAAAAACTAGCTGGGCATGGTGGTGCGTGCCTGTAACCCCAGCTACTAGGGAGGCTGAGGCAGGAGAATTGCCTGAACCCAGGAGGCGGAGGTTGCGGTGAGCTGAGATCGCACCATTGCACTCCAGCCTGGGTAACAAGAGCGAAACTCCGTCTAAAAAAAAAAAAAAAAAGCTTTGTGTTTTGTTTATTCTTATTGGAAATTTATGGGAATTAGGGTTTTTCCCATGTGCTGGATTAGGATGACATATGGAAAGTAAATCACAAAGTTACTTTCTCTGTGGCTATTGGATAGTCTGACATTTCCACTGTTGCTACATGCTGATGCTATATTTTTTAATTTTTAAAAAGATTGTAGGCAGGAGGTTGTTCCACAATGACCTTGTAACTGGTTTTAAGAGACCTCAGAACACCAGGGTGCAACTGAAGGATGTAGTCAGTTCTCAGGACTTGATTAGAATCCATTTTGACTTTTTGTTTTGAAAACGAAGAAACCGAGTAACCCTAAATTAAGGTATACCACATTATTTTCTTAATCTTGTAACCCAAATTTTGCAGAAGTAGTTGGGGCTTTGTTTTCACTTTCGAATAAAATAGTAACTCTGAAAAGAAATCAGTGATAATTGTAGAGGTGGACACGAGATCTCCGAAGTACTGTCTTTTTCCATGTCCTCGTCTCCTGTGTCTGTGTATCAGACATCTGTTGACTACTGAGTGCTGCGTCTGGCTGGTTTATGAATACAGCACCCTCCCCTCCGTGAGCTCAGTTTATAAGCTCTCGTCTCTGTTTCTGGGAAGGAGTTTCTTCCTCCCCATCCCTGTCAAACAGTTGCATATTTCTCTTTGACTACTTTAAGCCACAGGATGCTCGAAACCAGGTAGCTCGTTCCTTTTTGTCTTGAAATTTAGAAAATTCTTTCATTCAGTGGAAGGAAGTCAGCCACCGAACCCTTTGATCCGAGGACTCTGTCCCTTCAGTTCTCTCCTGCAGCTGTGCATTCTCTACTTTTGTGTTCCTCATAGACACCAGCTCCGGGGCGCCCATCCTGGGTGCCTGTTTGCTTTCGTCAGGACTGCCGATAAAACTGGCCACACCTAATTGAATACGTTATTCCAGGTGGTGTTTGCCTAGGGCATATGCAGAGCACTCATATTTCTTGTGATCAGGATATTCACATTCATTCAGTTTCTGTTAGTTCATCCCCTTTCAGAAACTGTTTGCTCTTAGCTCATTGAACCTGTGAGCAACTGAATCCCTCAAACATCAAAAAAATAAAGACTTATTAAGCAAACTTCATCCCATCTTTACGTGTAGAGAAAGACATTCGTTCTGTTTTATCTCACCTTAGGATAGTGCTGTTCCCTTTAAATATGTTGATGGTTTAGTACCAAGGCAGGGTTCATCTTCGAGTGCGCAGTTAGCGTTTCCTTACCTTCTAGCTGTGAATTTCCACATCATTGATAACACTGTTGAACGGGATAGGACCAAGGATACAGCCCTGTGACCTTTTGTGGACTTACTGGCAGCACACTGTGCCTAGCGTTTTTATGTGAATATAGATATATTCACAAAAATGGAATAACAATAGTTATTACCATCATTAATTAAAACTAACCCGTAAAAGTAATAAGTCAATAAAAACATATTCTTTACCAGGCACCACTGTTCTAAACACTTTACATACTTTACTCATTTAATCTTCTCAGCATTAAGTATAGATGCTTACCATTCTTAGACAGAAGAGTAGTTCACCCTCTTAAACCATTATTTCTGTTGTTTCAAATCTTTTCTGGACGTCATTGTCTTACTGAAGTTTTTAAAATAGATACTTATCATTATATTGCTCTGCTGTGATGCAATATCCCTATAAAAAATGGAAAGGAGATTAGTTTCTGCAGCTTTGGCCTTTCTTGATTTACTAACCAAGTAGTCAAACAAAGGGAAATGAACTTTTTTGCATGATCAGCAACTCTTGTTGCCTCCTGTTGACAACTGTCTTATTGTTATAGCTCACCAGGTAACTGGTGGAACTGTTTTAATGTCAGTCACTGGATTGACAGTGTATAGTTTATGGCAGATAATTCCTTCCTCCTTTATAAGAGTTAGGCACCATTTGATTCTCCCAAGTTTTCTGGACTCTTTGCTCTTCTCCATGATTTCTCAGGTTGCGAAGTCTTACTTGTAACCAAATCTGTAATGTGGGTATCAAACATGAACATATTAGAAGTAGCTTGACGTTCACCGTTTTCTTGCCTGAAAGTTGGGTTCATCTTCTGCAGTTGTTCAGCCTCAGTTTTCAACTTCTGAAAAATGTGACAGTTTTCAAAAGACAGAGCCCAGTTCTGAGTTGAGTATCTCTGGGTTTCCTTTGGTCACCTGGAAATTGCACTGTGTTCTCCAAAAGATTGAGTTTTCCCTTCTTTCTTTTAATTTTTAACTTAATTATGGCAAAGTCCTTTTATTGTCTTCACCGCTCTTTTTCCTGCGGCTGAACTGCTTCTAGCTGCAGCTTTTCTACTGCACATTGATGTTCAGTTCGCGTTCTTGTTCTGTTTCTTTCATATTTTAAAATGACTCAAAAGAGCTCACAGTGAGGACACTGACTTCTTTACATTCACTGCTCATTTACCATAGAACTTGCTTCCAATTCTCTATTTCTCTCATAAGCCAGGTTTCTTTTTGAGTTGGCAGGCTTGATTGTGAAATCGTCCTGTTTTTCCTGGCATTTTGTTTTTATTTCTGCTTTCTTAAGATTTAGGATACATGTTTGACTGAATTCATTGTGCCCCCTTCTGTGACTGTTAATCATTCTAACACAAAATTACTTGGAAATCATACAAGCTTTCCATTACTCTTCAAGTCCCGACAGATTCACCCTTGTTGATAAGAATTAGTAACTGTAAATTGCCTTATTTCTGCTTTGTTGTCAAGAGGGATTCAGAAGAATTAACACACCCATGAGTAGTAAATGATTTTTACCTTTTGCTTTCCAAAGGGAATCTTTCATCTCTTTCACTGGTAAATTTCCACATGTGGAGTTGAGTTTTGCCGCTGCATTTCACACACACAGATCTGTGCTCCATGGTACTTTGACTGACTAAAAGCAATTAAGAGAGAACAGTTTATTTTTAACATGCCAACCACTGTCTTTAAAAATACAAATGTAGCCGGGCGCGGTGGCTCAAGCCTGTAATCCCAGCACTTTGGGAGGCCGAGGCGGGTGGATCACAAGGTCAAGAGATCGAGACCATCCTGGTCAACATAGTGAAACCCCGTCTCTACTAAAAATACAAAAAATTAGCTGGGCATGGTTGTGCGTGCCTGTAATCCCAGCTACTCAGGAGGCTGAGACAGGAGAATTGCCTGAACCCAGGAGGCGGAGGTTGCGGTGAGCCGAGATCGCGCCATTGCACTCTAGCCTGGGTAACAAGAGCGAAACTCCGGCTCAAAAAAAAAAAAAAAAAAAAAATACAAATGTAAAACAAACTGCAAATGGCAAAGTATGCAATTTCCAGGTGTTGTTGATCCTGAGAAATGCTTTGTTTTATTATGCAGTCCATTGCAAAATAATGTACTGCCAAAGAATTGAGTTTAACATAAGCTTTTCCCCTTGCTTTCTTTGAAGCGTTTTTGTTGTTGTTGCTGTTTTCTGTTTGTTTTTGAAGAGACCCTGTCTCTGGTCTTGAATTCCGGGCCTTGAGCAATCCTCCCACCTCAGCCTACACAAGTGCTGGGATTACAGGTGTTACAGGTGTGAGCCATCACACCTGGCCAAAAGAGTTATTTTAAATTACAAAAGCAATACATGTTATGTGTACAGAGTTCAAATAGTAGAGAAACATATAAAGTAAAACGGGAAGGGAAGGTCCCATTTCTCCTTCACCATTGATGGTTGTCTGTCACAGCACTGAAAGGCTTTCATTGTCTCCTCCCTATATTCACCTTTCAGTCTCCATCAGAACTTTGCTTGTCCTCTGTTCATCTTTTTTTTTTTTTTTTTTTTTTTCCTGAGACAGAGCCTTGCTCTGTCGCCCAGGCTAGAGTGCAGTGGCACCATCTCGGCTCACTACAACCTCCACCTCCTAGGTTCCAGCAGTTCTCTTAAGTAGCTGGGATTACAGGCATGCACCACCACACCCAGCTAATTTTTTTTTTTTTTTGAGACGGAGTTTCACTCTTGTTACCCAGGCTGGAGTGCAATGGCACAATCTCAGCTCACCGCAGCCTCCGCCTCCTGGGTTCAGGCAATTCTCCTGCCTCAGCCTCCTGAGTAGCTGGGATTACAGGCACGCACCACCATGCCCAGCTACTTTTTTATATTTTTAGTAGAGACGGGGTTTCACCATGTTGACCAGGATGGTCTCGATCTCTTGACCTCGTGATCCACCCGTCTCGGCCTCCCAAAGTGCTGGGATTACAGGCATGCACCACCACGCCCAGCTAATTTTTGTATTTATAGTAGAGACAAGGTTTCACTATGTTGGTCAGGCTGGTCTCAAAACTCCTGACCTCAAATGATCTGCCCGCCTCGGCCTCCCAAAATGCTGGGGTTACAGCGTGAGGCACAGCGCCCGCCTGTCCTCTGTTCATCTTGCATAACCAATTCATTAAGTATCGCGTCTAGAGTGGAAACTGCAGTTATGTACTTCTGAGTGTTTCTATTTTATCAGGAAGAGGTAAACAGAGATGATAGACAAAGCAACACAACTGAGTTTGAAAACTCCACTTTCGACGAGGCTGAAATTTCACACAGTGAGACCGAACATCTCCCAGCCAGGGACTCTCCTTCACTTAGTGAAAATCCCACTACTGATGAAGATGACAGTGAGTATGAGGACTGTCAGGAGGAAGAGGAAGATGACTGGCAGACATGTTCAGAAGAAGACAGTCCTGATGAAGAGGACTGTGGCCAGGACTGGAAGGAAAGCTGTATGACAGACTGTGAGGCTCCGGGCAGGAACACCCGGCAGAAGAGGCAGATACACAACTTTAGCCATCTGGTATCAAAGCAGGAGTTACTAGAGCTTTTTAAGGAGCTACACACCGGGAAGAAGGTGAAAGATGGGCAACTTACAGTCGGACTGGTAAGATGACATTATGTCAGAACATTGTTACCACATATTCCTCAATAGCTACATGAGGACCCCCGAGACTAACCAGGCTTCTGGCATCATAGGGAACATTGCCCTCTTGTTGCCCACTGGCATCATGAGATTAGGCAGTGGCAAAGACAGACCCCAGCTCATAGGAATCAGCTTCCTCAAGGGTTGTATTGGTAACATACCTGTTCACATTAAATGCATTCTCCAGTCTCCCTTCAGTAAAGCTTTTCCTGTCATATGAAGAACCAGCAGAGCAGAATGAAAGAGATGTTATTGTTGTCTTCAGACTTCAGCCCAGTGTTCTTTTGACACCCTGTGATCCATGCCAGCTTACGCTGTAAATGTTCCAGATGCTTATTAGGGAGAACCCCAACATCTTGGGGCTGGATAAAATATGACAAATGCATTAGTTGCATAAACACTGCAGAGCATAGCAGATAGGGGAGAAAGTAGATCACACCCCCAGCTTTATATACCCTAGTTCCAAAAGTGGCTGTGGACGTGCCGAAACCCCAAAGGCTACAGCATGGTTCTAGGTGGCCCCATCCTTAGCTAAGGAGATGTAAGATGTTAGAGAATGTATTTATTATAAAGATCTATCCAGAATATAACAGTGAGGGAAAGGAGATCGTGGTAGGTTTAAAGTCTCCTAGCTTTTCAGTTGCATGCTAAGTATAGCTAATCCTAGTTATTTTTGAGCCCCCTTCTCTCCTGCCCCAACCCCCTGCCCCAAAACGCCTGCTTAAAATGACAAGCAGATTGGCATCTTATTTTACTGCACTGGTTAAAAGAGTTGCCTGTGGAGTCAGACAGACCTAGGTGTAATTCCCAATTCAGCAGCAGAACTAGCTTGTTATGAACACTGGGAAAGTTGCTTGGTGTCTTTGAGCTTTAGAGCTTCATTCTCTATATTGTTGCTAAAAATTTGTATCAGAAAGTTCAGCTTCTCTACAAGTACCTTTCTTTCTCACATTTATGGAAAAACTGAGCAGCCTTCCTCATTTTCTAAATTTCTCACTCTAGAAATTCTGTAAACATTTATTGATCACCCGCCACATGCCAGGCAAGAATGCTGACTTTAACGAAAAAGTGATTGAAAATTTAAAAAATGTGTTGTGATTATTAAAATGTCCATCTGATCATCCTCACCCAGCGTGGAAGATGCGACAGAAACGGCTGCCTGTAGATGGGGCAGTGAGGGAAGGCTGGGAACAAGGGATGACACAGCAAAACCTGTACAATTAAAATAGTGCATAGCCTGACCCTTTGTCGCTGGAGACACATCTGAGTAAATATACCCTCATCACAGGAGAAAAAAAGATGTCTCAACAAACACAGCATCGATTTCAAATAATTTTCTGAAGTAACCAGATGCTTATGCTAGTCTTGCCACTATCTCTAATGCCTCTGAGTCTTTGATAGATGTAGTATTTTCCTGTTTGGTAACTGCTGAGTCTCTTCTAGGTGGGTTACCCTAATGTTGGTAAGAGTTCAACAATCAACACCATCATGGGCAACAAGAAAGTATCTGTGTCTGCCACCCCTGGTCACACGAAGCACTTTCAGGTATGTCTGTAATTCTTTGCCACTCGTATGCAGCTCTTTCTTCATCTGTTGTATGCCCAGCTCAGACCTCTTACTTGTCTTTCAGACACTCTATGTGGAGCCTGGCCTCTGCCTATGTGACTGCCCAGGCTTGGTGATGCCATCTTTTGTGTCTACCAAGGCAGAAATGACTTGCAGTGGAATCCTCCCAATTGATCAGATGAGAGATCACGTTCCACCTGTATCATTAATATCCTTTCTGCTTCGGAAACACTCTAGTTATTATGTGCGTATTAGGGCTTCAGGTTTGTTCTGGGCATTTGAGGGATTCAGATTTGGTGAAGAATTTAAAATACTAGTGATCTGCACAAGTTCATACTGTGAGATAGCATGCGAACTTCAGAATTAGAACTTCATTTCCTGATTTCAGCAGTGTAGGAATGGAAGAATCCAGGTTTCAGATACTCAGCTCCAAGTTGCAAACCTATTTAACAATGTCATTTAGCCATTTGAACTTGCTTAACCTTCCCAAATACTTTGCTTTTCTCTAAGTGGGGGAAAATCGTCTATATCACGGTTGATCAATCAGTATAATTAACATATATTGAATACTTGCTATGTGCTTTTCTAAACTCTAACGAAGTATCTTTTAATCCTCAAAAAACAACCCTTAAGGCAGATACTGCTGTCATTCCCATTTCTTTAAACTTGAGGAAACTGAGGCACAGAGAAGTTAAATAATTTATCTAAGCCCTTACAGCTAGTAAGTAGTAAATTAGGAACTCTACTGCCTCTCAGTAGCATAATGAATTAACTTACATAAAGCATCTAGAACGGTCCCCAGCATGAAAAAAGGACTGAAAGATGGATTTGCGAAGAACTATGCAGGGGCCAGGCACGGTGCTTCATGCCTATAACCACCAACACTTTGGCAGGCCGAGGTGCATAGGTCACTTGAGCCAGGAGTATGAGATCAGCCTGGCCAACATAGCAAAACCCTGTCTCTACTAAAAATACAAAAATTAGCTGAGCATGGTGTTGCACGCCTATAGTCCCAGCTACTCAGGAGGCTGAGGCACGAGAATTTCTTGAACCTGGGAGGCAGAGGTTGCAGTAAGCTGAGATAGTGCCACTGTACTCCAGCCTGGGTGAGACAGCGAGACTCTTGTCTTTAAGAAAAAAGAAAATGAAAGAAAAAAACTTGCAAGGTCTGAGATTTTACTCTATTTACAAGCTAACAAGTTTGTCATTGTTTTGTGGATACTAGCAGAAAGCAGGAGACTTCATGAAACTGATACAGTAATCCATTGGCTTCTAAGTAGGGTAAAATTGCAGACCCTTCATAACCAAAGACCACAGCTTATTTATAGATATATCTATTTGAAAAAGTATATTACTTTTTTTTTTTTTTCCGAGATGGATTTCACTCTGTCACCCAGGCTGGAGTGCAGTGGTTTGATCTTGGCTCACTCCAATCTCTGCCTTCTGTGTTTATTCAATTCTCCTTCAGCCTCCTGAGTAGCTGGGATTACAGGTGCAGGTCACCACGCCCAGTTAATTTTTGTATTTTTTTAAGTAGAGACAAGGTTTTGCCATGTTTCCCAGGCTGGTCTCGAACACCTGACCTCAGATGATCACCTGCCTCGGCCTCCTGAAGTGCTGGGATTACAGGCATGAGCCACTGTGCCGAGCCTTTTAAGTTTGTCTGCAAATTAATAGTTAGACATGAATTGTTTATTGCAGGCAGCCTCAGGTTAGGTACTGTGGAAGATAGGGCATAAATGGAGGTGGCTCCTGACTTTTATGAAGCATCAGTCTGTTGGGTCACATGAGAACTAACTAGTACAACACAGAATATTGTTAGTGGCTTAAGGAAACTCAGACAAACTATGGGAGATTAGACAAAGGAGGAAAAGTAATCCCGCATAATTGTAGACATTAGAAACAAAGACTCCACTTGCTTTATCACTTGAATCATCTCACAAATGCGCAGTCTTTTCAGGGGAAAAATGTGTCATCTTTAAAGTCTGCTTCAGAGATATTTTAAATTATTACTTTAAAAGAATTCCTGTGGAAGAGTTGTTGGAACTTAAGGCCTTGTTTAAAAGGAAAAAAACAACTGAGTCTTTAAAAATTAATCAGTAACTATACTTTTGCTTTGGAGAGGAGAAAGTGTTTGTCATACAAGTAACGAAGTACCATGTTCCCAGAGGCACGTTTCTTATGCCATGGGGAGGAGGGAGGCAGTTCAAGAGAATGGATTCCCTGACAAGCTTACGTTTGCCAGAATATTCCAAGACATGTTTTAGAAGTTACCTATGGGATTAATATCATAAAGCCTAGAGAGGATGAAGATCCCCACCGGCCTCCAACATCAGAAGAACTGTTAACAGCTTATGGATGTAAGTTGTGATTCATTAGAAAACACAAACAAAAATAACAGCATACCTAATTAATAGAAATGAGAATGGTAATAGTACTAGAAACACTATTGTGCAAAGAGGGAAATTTACACTATTTCTTTAGCATTTTCAAGCCATCTTCCAGGATGAATGTTTTTGTCTCTGTGGGCCTTGCCTGCAAAGTAATCTGAAGTGCAAACAGCTTTTAGGACATTTGCTGCTTTGATGGTACCCACATGCAGGCACACGGTTCTCATCTTAGGCTGTGTTGGCTCTTTCTGGAGCCTTCTCCCAAACAAGAAGAAAAGGGCTGTGTGGAAGGAAGTGAGTATGCGCACCAGAGCAAGACAGGACAGGTATGAGGGAACACCAGCAGGGAAACCCTCAGAGATGGGACGGAGTGGAGCTTGGTGAGGAGAGGGGCACAAAGCGTCCTCCTTCCATCAGCCCCGGAAACCTTACTCGACATTAAAATGAGCCCACAGCCATCCCACCTTCACATTTATCCCAATTCCACATGAGAGCCTATGATTTCTTACTTTAAATGTAAACTTTAAAGGTAGCCCGGAGAACCTGTGTCTACCTAAAAAAAATAATAGTGTTAGGAACATTTCCGTGCATGTGTGGCTTGCCTTTAAAGGGATTGCCACTTGCTGGGAAGGAGTTCAGGTTATTTGAGTATTTACTGGCAGAGAAAGGTGAAAGGTGATTTGATACGAATCACACTTAATCAAACTTTGAACGTAGAGCTTCTTAAGAGGAGAAATACTGAACACTTGTGGTAAGACTATTGTCATTATAGATTCATAGAGCAAGAAAAGACCCTGAAGATCACCTCACCTCCTAGCCCCACCTTTTTTTTTCCCTTGAAACAGAGCCTCACTGTCACCCAGGCTGGAGTGCAGTGGTGTGATCTCGACTCATTGCAACCTCCACCTGTCTGGTTCAAGCAATTCCCCTGCCTCAGCCTCCGGGGTAGCTAGGATTACAGGCACCCGCCACCACTCCCAGCTAATTTTTTTGTACTATTAGTAGAGACAGGGTTTCATCATGTTGGTCAGGCTGGTCTTGAACTCCTGACCTCATGATCCACCCGCTTCAGGCCCCCAAAGTGTTGGGATTACAGGTGTGAGCCACTGCGCCCAGCCCTAGCCCCTACTTTTAAGAGTAATCTGAACTCAGAGCCTGAGCTGACCCAAGGTGAAGTGGCTGGTCAGTGGCATACTCTAGGTGAGATCTCTCTCCAGGATGTTAGCCTGGAAAATGCAGAAAGGTGGACTCCCACCAAACTTTTTTTTTTTTTTGAGACAGAGTTTCCCTCTTGTTACCCAGGCTGGAGTGCAATGGCGCGATCTTGGCTCACCGCAACCTCCGCCTCCTGGGTTCAGGCAATTCTCCTGCCTCAGCGTCCTGAGTAGCTGGGATTACAGGCATGCGCCACCATGCCCAGCTACTTTTTTGTATTTTTAGTAGAGACGAGGTTTCACCATGTTGACCGGGATGGTCTCGATCTCTTGACCTCGTGATCCACCCGCCTCAGCCTCCCAAAGTGCTGGGATTACAGGCTTGAACCAGCACGCCTGGCCCAAACTTTCAGTTTGATTGTACTTCCAGATAAAACTGAAAAGAATGAGTCTTTTAAGATTTTTCATCTAATGCTGCCTTATAAAATCTGAGTAAGGAAAAAGCCAGTTTGTAAAAGCAAATGACCACACTCACAGTTTCTAAGTTCACTATCTCCAAGTGCATGTAGAATAAAATCTCTGGCTGTAAATTTTCAAAGATACTGCCAAATTAGTGTCATTCATTCTACTTTGTATTACTTTAAATAGTTGTGAAGTTGAACATCTTTCCAAATATTTTGTGGCCATTTATATTTCTTCTGGGAATCACATTTTCCTGTACATCGTTCCTGACTTAATGATTTCTAGAAGTTCTTTGTTATATGTGCTACACATTTTTCCCAATGTTAATTTCTGGTGTCTTTGGCCCCACAGAAGTTGAGGATTTTAATAGACTATATCTTTCCTTTTTGGTTTGACTGGGTTTGGTGTTTTACTTGGGAAGGTCTTATCCATCCCAAAAAGATAAAACTATCTTCCTGTAATATTTACTTATTTTTTTTTAACATTTAGATATTTAATCTGCCTAAATTTATTTTTGCATATTGTTTGAATGAGGATTCTAACTACTTTCTTCTGACCTGGAAAAGCCAGTCGACAGCTAGTATGTGAGGGAGCTGAGTTTTGAACCCAGCCTGTCTCCCGAAGCCATGTTCTTAACCACTGTGTTTTGCTACTCCTCTAATTGAGTTAGTATTAAAGGGACCTTACTGGGGGAAAAAAATGTAGGTATATCATTAAATAAGAAAACTTGATCTATTGCTTTTTGTTTTGCAAATAGTATTGACAATGTAGCATTCTCCTACAGGTAGCCTCCATGAATAAATGTTTAAAATAAAGAGGCCAGGTGAGGTGGGCAAATCACCTGGGTCAGGAGTTCAAGACCAGCCTGACCAACATAGTGAAACCCCATCTCTACTAAAAATTAAAAAATTAGGCAGGTGTGATGGTGGCGCCTCTAATCCCAGCTACTCAGGAGACTAAGGCACCAGAATCACCTGAACCGGGGAGGCAGAGATTGCAGTGAGCTGAGATTGCACCACTACGCTCAAGCCTGGGCAACAGAGCGAAACTCCATCTCAACAAAAAATAAAAAGATAGAAGGAAATAACTGGAGTAGAGAGGAAACTGAATTTGCCTTTCATAGCATGGTGCTAGGTGATTGTTAGGATATCAGAAGTATCTAGTTTATTCTCCTGGATTACCTAGTGTTTTTAATGCTAAACAAAATATATTCTACAATGATACCTAATATTTATTTATTTATTTATTTATAAAGAGATGGGATGTCGCCATATTGGTCAGGCTGGTCTCGAAATCCTGACCTCAGCTGATCCACCCATCTCGGCCTCCCAAAGTGCTGGAATTATAGGTGTGAGCCACCACGCCCAGCGATACCTAATTTTTTAAAAGATAGGAGTAAGAATGCATAGTTATTAATAGAAGCTACATCAACTCAGTTGTCTTTGTTGTGATACTCTGTCATCTGAGATTTTGCAAAATTCTTTTCACAGATATGCGAGGATTCATGACAGCGCATGGACAGCCAGACCAGCCTCGATCTGCACGCTATATCCTGAAGGACTATGTCAGTGTAAGCGAACCCTGCCTCTTACGCTCTTGAATACCTAAGACTTTTTCTACATTCTGTGTTTAGATAATGGCAACCTGTTGGATTATAAAGGAAATATTTTTTCTTTGAAACTGGAGCTGTGTTCTTGATCTAGGGTAGTTAACATTATATGGATTAAAAGATGGAGGTCTCTGAACACCTATTATGAGTGAAAATCACCAATCTAAGCATCCGGCTTTTCCATCTCCTATAGCCCTTTGCTTGTTACGATTGCAGTCATTGTCACAGTCTTTGTAGTAAAGCTGTTTATATGCCTAGCTCTGTAGTTCTCTGGTAATGATAATAACAGCTAACATTTCTTCGAAGCTAACCCTGCTAGAAATAGTTGTTTTACTTGTGTCTTCTCAGTAAAAATACGTAACAAGTCTGTGAGATTATTATTTCTCCTGTTCAAATGGGAACATGCTATTTGGGGGTTTCCCATGGTAAAATGGAGATGAACTGGGCCTATCTCATGGGATTATTGTGTTGGGGGGGTCATTAAGCTCAATGCCTGGCACATAATGAGCCCACAATAATGGTTATGTATTAAGTTTAATTCTTTCCTCAAGTAAACATTATAGGGCCCTGGTAATAACCAGCTGTGAGGGTTAGGCTTTTTCTTCTTTTTGAGACAGAGTCTCGCTCTGTCACCTAGGCTGGAGTGCAGTGGCGTGATCTCGGCTCACGGCAATCTCCGCCTCCTGGGTTCAAGCCATTCTCCTGCCTCAGCCTCCTGAGTAGCTGAGATTACAGGTGCGTACCACCACGCCTGGCTAGTTTTTGTATTTTTAGTTGAGACAGAGTTTCATCATGTTGGCCAGGCTGGTCTCAACTCCTGACCTCGTGATCCACCTGCGTTGGCCTCCCAAAGTGCTGGGATTACAGGCATGAACCACCGCACCCAGCTGAGGATTTGGTGGTTCTCAAATCCTCAGCCTTCTCAAGACCACATCAGTGGCCGGGCGCGGTGGCTCAAGCCTGTAATCCCAGCACTTTGGGAGGTCGAGGCGGGTGGATCACGAGGTCGACAGATCAAGACCATCCTGGTCAATATGGTGAAACCCCGTCTCTACTAAAAATACAAAAAATTAGCTGGGCATGGTGGCGCGTGCCTGTAATCCCAGCTACTCAGGAGGCTGAGGCAGGAGAATTGCTTGAACCCAGGAGGCGGAGGTTGCGGTGAGCCGAGATCACAGCCATTGTACTCCAGCCTGGGTAACAAGAGCAAAACTCCGTCTCAAAAAAAAGAAAGACCACATCAGTGGAGCTCTTGGAGCACAGTGGCAACCATACGGGCTTGCCTTCAGTTCAGGAAGAAAGCAGCTAATACTGTTGCTATGGATGTATTCATTTACCACTTACTATGGAGGCTGTAAAGATGCGGTAAAAATAGTCACAGCCTTCAGAGCATTTATGATGGAAGAGGCAGACTTGCGCCTAGTGAGCACCCGCAACCTGCACACAGGAGTCTCGGAGCGCCCCTGACGCTAATAGTCCACCCAACGTTACCATTAGTCATAACTTCAGTTGCATCTTGAGTTTTGCTTTGGAAAATATTCACCGTAAGTATAATCATGTCAGTATACTCAAGAATACTTGAGTGGGAATGAAACCAAGGGAAAGAAGAGATTTCATCCTGGTCTGGGGGGCATGGGAAGAGCTAGGTCTCTCGAGCACTTTGACCATTATAGAGAAAGGACTCTTCAGCTGCAGTAAACCAGAGCTCAACTCAGCTAACTTAACCAGGAGGCAGAAAGCGCCATCAGAGTGTGACTGGGTGGAGATGTCTCCTCCGAGGTCACGGATAGCACTGAGGATGCACTGTTCTCATTCGTGTTGTCTTTGCAGGGTAAGCTGCTGTACTGCCATCCTCCTCCTGGAAGAGATCCTGTAACTTTTCAGCATCAACACCAGCGACTCCTAGAGAGCAAAACAAATGGCGATGAAATAAAAATGCAGCCAGGCAGAAATAAAAAAGCAAAGCAGATTGAAAATATAGTTGATAAAACTTTTTTCCATCAAGTAAGTTTTAAAGCTTTTCTTAAACCTCAGCCAACACTCTTGATAACAGCTTTATTGAGTATCATCACATGCCATAAACACATTTCAATAACCTTAAAAAGGATTTCATAACCCCCAAAAGAAACCTTACTTACTAACAGTTACTCTAGTTCCCCTTTTCCACCAGCCCCTGCAGCCAATAATCAATTTTTATGTGTAGATCTGCCTGTTCTGGACATTCCATGTGAATGGAATCATACTATGTGCTCTTTGTGACTGGCTTCTTGCACTTAGCGTAGTATCTTTTGTTGTTGTTGTTTTGACACAGAGTCTTGCTCTGTCTGTCACCCAGGCTGGAGTACATTGGGCCGATCTTGGCTCACTGCAACCTCCGCTTCTCAGTTTCAAGCAATTCTCTTGCCTCAGCCTCCTGAGTAGCTGGGATTACAGGCGCACGCCACTACGCCCAGCTAATTTTTTTTTTTTTTGTATTTTTAGTAGAGATGGGGTTTTACCATGTTTGTGAGGCTGGTCTCAAAACTCCTAACCTTGTGATCTGCCCGCCTCGGCCTCCCAAAGTGCTGGGATTTCAGGCGTGAGCCATCGTGCCCGACCTTAGCGTGACATGTTAAAGATTCATCCATGTTGTAGCATGTGTCAGTATTTCATTCCTTTTTATTACCAAATAGTATTTCATTGTATAGATATGCCACATTTTGTTTATCCATATATCATTTGATGGACATTTGGGTTGTTTCCACTTTTTGGCTACTATGAATAATGTTGTACAAGTTTTTGTGTGGACATGGGTTTCCTTTCTCTTGAGTGTATACTGGGGTTGCTGGGTCATATTGTACCACCATGTTTAACATTTGAGGTGTTGCCATACTTTCTAAAAGTGGCTGTGCTGTGTTACATTACCTCCAGCGATGGATGAGGTTTCTAATTTTTCCTTATCCTTGTCAGCATTTATTATTGCCCATCTGTTTTTATGGTGGCCATCCTAATACATGTAAGTTACTACTACATGACCGTTTTGATGGGTATTTCCCTAATTACTAGTGATGCTGAGCATCTTTTTACGTGCTCATTGGCACATGTATATTTTCTTTAGAGAAACGTCTATTATTAAGTTGTAAGAGTTCTTTATAAATTTGGGGTACAAGTCCCTTATCAGATTTAAGATTTACGAATATTTGCACACATTTAGTCAGTTGTCTGTTCTTTGAGCCAACAACATATTTGGTGATAGAAAGTGCTAAAGAACAGACTTCATAAATGTCTTCTGCACTTTAAAACATTGATAACTTTAGTTGCTGATATCACAGCTACAATTTGTCAGCAGTATTTTAAAGGACAAATCTAATCTACAGGCCAAAGAGGTCAATCATATAGTTGTACCCAACGTACCTTAAAGATGTTTTTAAGTGACTGCTATAGCAAAAATGGGACAGGAGTTAGGAGGGGGTGGTCAGCTGTGTCCCAAGAATGCTTTTGTATTTATCCAGCGTTTTATCTGAGGCCTCACACAGTGAGCCTGGAAGCAGGCCCAGCAGGTATCACTCCCTGAGGACACTGGGGCTCCAAGAGATTGAGTAGCCCGAGGGCACTGCTTTAAACTGCAGAGTGTTAACTTAGATGTTCGCAGCTCCTACCGTGAATTATTTCCAAGTTGGCACGAATATTTGGAAGAAAATTTACCAATATGCAAAAAGATCACAAGTTTCTTCTTTGGCCTACAACCGTCATAGAGAACATTTATTTTGAATTTTTAAATGTTTACAGGTTTCTAAAGGCTACATACAGGAAAGCTGAAAACTTGCCATAATTTTAATATAATACATATGTCTAAACTGTAGCCTCTAGAATAATATTTTACTATTATAAGTAACTTGTAAATCATACTGTAATTTTTTTTTTTTTTACTAAGTAAACTTAAAATTTTGTTTAGAGTCCATTTCTAATTTGGTTGAAGCAGGTTAAGTTTTGATATTAAGACAAAGGTCCAGAAAACAGCTGGGGCTGAGTCTAGTTGTCGATGGCATTTTAAACTATGAGACTAAACAAAGTTGATGAGGGAATTAGGAGGGAGAACAGATGACCTGAAGACAGAACGCTGGGGAGAGGAAGAGGACCAGTGAAAGGGGTGGATGGAAATTCACTGAGTGATTTACTCCTTGTTACCTTGAAGTGATCCACTGACAGTACTGTGCATATCCCTTAAAGGATAGCCTGCTGACATCTCAGATAATGTTTTCTCTTCTTTCGTAGGAGAATGTGAGAGCTTTGACCAAAGGAGTCCAGGCTGTGATGGGTTACAAGCCCGGGAGCGGGGTAGTGACTGCGGCTCCTGCGAGCTCTGAGAATGGGGCAGGGAAGCCCTGGAAGAAACATGGCAACAGAAATAAAAAAGAAAAAAGTCGTAGACTCTACAAGCACCTGGACATGTGATGTTGGGCTACAACAGAATGTCATCTGCACCGTGCAGATGGGAAAGAGCAGAAGCCGCTGGCTGCCTATGGAACTGTTCCAGGACACTGGCACTGTAGAAGGGGCCTGCTCTTGGGGAGCCCAGCTGCACCTGATAGTCGTGTCAAGACTGAGGGCCTCCTGGAAACACCAGCTCTCACTAAAAGGAGTTATAGGGGAGCCCTAGAAACCTCCTGGCAATGCAGCGTTTCACGTGCCAACATGGTGAAACTCCAGCGAACCACCATCTCTACTAAAAATACAAAAAAAGGCTGGGTGCGGTGGCTCACGCCTGTAATCCCAGCACTTTGGGAGGCCGAGGCGGGTGGATCACAAGATCAAGAGATCGAGACCATTCCGGTCAACATGGTGAAACCCCGTCTCTACTAAAAATACAAAAAATTAGCTGGGCATGGTGGCGCATGCCTGTAATCCCAGCTACTCAGGAGGCTGAGGCAGGAGAATTGCCCGAACCCACGAGGGCGGAGGTTGCAGTGAGCCAAGATCGTGCCATTGCACTCCAGCCTGGGTAACAAGAGCGAAACTCCATCTCAAAAAAATATATACAAAAAAATTAGCTGGGTGTGGTAGCATGCACCTGTAATCCCAGCTACTCAGGAGGCTGAGACAGGAGTATCACTTGAACCTGGGAGACAGAGGTTGCAGTGAGCATATACCATGCCATTGCAGTCCAGCCTGGGTTACAGAGTGAGACTGCATCACAAGAAAAAAAAATGGCAAGGGATAGTTCATGAGACACATTTGGGAGAAAGGTGAAACAAATTCTCCATTCCGAATGCCCTCGTTGGGTTCCTCAGACTCTAAACAAGGAACTTGCGTTGTTAGTGGGTAGCGGGGGCTCACTTCCACTGAGGAACATGTAGAATATATCCACCGGGTGACAGGGAAGCTGCAGTATCTACTAACTAGCCCATTTTCACTGGTTATTCCACTTATTTAAAATATGTCCGGAATAAGCAAATCTCTATATAGAGGAAGTAGATTAGCGGTTGCTTAGGTATAGGAGGCAATGGGAAGATTGAGGGCTTTCTCTTGCAGGACCTTTTTCGTCCTAAAATTCATTGTAGTGACGGTTGTACAACTCTGCGAATATGCTTGAGACCATTCACTGGTGAATTACATGGTAAAGTAAATTAAGTTCAATAACATAGTTACAAAATATAATCAGAAGCATGAAAGCACCACTGATAATGGTTTACATCTGTGTCCTCACCAAATCTCGTGTTGAAATGTAAGCCCCCATGTTGGATGTGGGGCCTGGTGAGGGTGATTGGATTATGGGGGAGAGTCCTCGGGAATGGTTTGGCTCCATACCCTCCGTGCTGTTCTTGTGATAGTGAGGTCTCGTCACATCTGGTTGCTTCAAAGAGTGTGGCGCATCCCCTCTGTCTCCCTCCTGCTCCAGCCATAGAAGACGTTCCTGTTTCTCCTTAGCCTCTGCTATGATTGTAAGTTTCCTGAGGCCTCCCTAGAAGCAAAAGCTGCTGTGCTTCCGGTACAATCTGCAGGACCGTGAGCCATTTAAACCTCGTTTCTTTATAAATTACTGTCTCAGGTATTATCTATGTTTCTTTTTTTGTGAGTCAGAGTCTCACTCTGTTGCCCAGGCTGGAGTGCAGTGGCATGATCTTGGCTCACTGCGACCTCCCTCTCCCGGATTCAAGGAACATGCCCTTCCCAGAAGAGAAAGCTGTTGAACTGCTGACCTGTCTCCCCCAGGTGGCCAGGATTTACCATCACCATTGGCTGCCTCTACCCAGGTTGCTGCAGCCCTTCCTTCAGAAGGACGGTGCCTGAGGTCCTGCCGCCCCTGCCAACAGGAAATGCCTCTGAGCAGTCACATCACTGCCCACCCTCCAGGAGAACAAGTGCTCCAGTCCTCTTGTTAGTTTTTCTTTCCGGCTAGCTCTGAATTGCGGCCAAAAATGTAATCTTTGGCTCCTGGGCAGCTGCTGGACCTCTGAGGAGCCTGGTTAAGGAACTGATTCATTTCCTGAGGGCTGACCACGTGGAAAGTACAGGGAGAGCCTGGGCAGGGTTCTAATGGCAGGAAGGAGTTGGTTAGAAGATACCATCTGAAGTGTTCACTGCAGGATGAAGTCCTGACTCCCTCGCAACTGGCCGCTGACTGTCTTACCTCCCTTCCTGCGGGTGCTGCTCTGCCTCTGCTTTTTGTCTTTCTCCTGCCATCTTTTGCCGCCTCCGAGGGTCTCTGCAGAGCTGCTGCCATGGCCTTGTTGCCAGAAGCAAACATAAAAAGGCCCAGTTCATGTGTTATTTCTTGAAAACCCCTCACACCCCCGCTCACAATGTGGGGTGTCACCAGTGTACTTTAAACATGTCCCTGCTGTAGTACATGTCACATTTTTATGGCCTGTTTAAAAATCAGGGTATTTGGCTGGGCACAGTGGCTCTTGCCTATAATCCCAGCACTGGGAGCCTGAGGCGGGTGGATCATTTGAGATCAGGAGTTCAAGACTGGCCTGGCCAACATGGTGAAACCCCGCCTCTACTAAAAATACAAAAATTAGCTGGGTGTGGTAGCATGCTCCTGTAATCCCATGAAGTGGAGGTTGCAGTGAGCCAAGATCGCGCCACTGCACTCCAGCCTGGGTAACAGAGCTAGACAGTGTCAAAGACGAAAGGCCAGGCAGAGTGGCTCACGCCTGTAATACCAGCACTTTGGGAAGCCAAGGTGGGTGGATCACGAGGTCAGAAGATTGAGACTATCCTGGCCAATATGGTGAAACCCTGTCTCAATTAAAAACACAAAACATGAGCTAGGCGTGGTGGTGCATGCCTGTAATCCCAGCTACTTGGGAGGCTGAGGCAGGAGAATCACTTGAACTCAGGAGGCGGAGGTTGCAGTGAGCCGAGATCATGCCACTGCACTCCAGCCTGGTGACAGAGCGAGACTCCGTCTCAAAAAAACAAACAAACCAAAAAAACAGTGCATTCATTCAGTAAATATTTTCCTTATTATGTGCCAGGCGCTGAGCTAGGGACTGAAGATGCAAGTATAAACTAAACAACCCTGGCTGCATGCAGCTCACAGCCTGGCAGAAAAACAACACTCCTCACCCTTTCAGAGTTAATAGAGCAGCGCAGGCACCAGGGCTCGGGCCCCCACAGGACTGGGACACCGAGTCAGCTGAAGTAAGGACGATTGCGGTGGACGAGCTTTGTGAGGGAGAATCAGGAGTTTGGCTTTAGATTGTGCAATTAGACCTGCAGGTGGAGATGTCAGGTAGGCAGTTGCATATGTGAGTCTGAAGTATGAGAAGGAGGTGACCTGGAGCTATGCATTCAGGAGGTGCAGGTGCAGGGACAGAAGTTAAAGCCAGACACCCGATGAGATCCCCAGCAGAGGACAGGTAGGGAAGAGAGCCAAGAATCGGGCCAGGTGCAGTGGCTCACACCTGTAATCCCAGCACTTTGGGAGGCCAAGGTGGGCAAATCAGCTGAGGTCAGGAGTTTGAGACCAACCTGACCAACATGGAGAAACCCTATGTCTACAAAAATACAAAAATTGGCTGGGCGTGGCCACACATGCCTGTAATCCCAGCTACTCGGGAGGCTGAGGCAGGAGAATCGCCTCAACCCAGGAGTCGGAGGTTGCAGCGAGTCGAGATGGTGCCATTGCACTCCAGTCTGGGCAACAAGAGCAAGAGTCCCACTCAAAAAACAAACAAACAAACAAACAAAAACAGAACTGAGCCATTATGTCTCCCCACCATTAGCTGACCTTCTTCCTTTTACAGAAAGAAACACGCAAGTGCAAGGAAGATCAGTGCTTTACCCCAAGTCACAGCACAACTGCTGCACTGTGGAGGGAAAATTCCAGTGTAAGATCAGGAGGCTCCAGAGCCCACGCTCTTCCCATTGCTTCTTTTTTTATTATTTTTTTTTTGAGATGGAGTCTCTGTTGCCCAGGCTGGAGTGCAACGGCGCAATCTCGGCTCGCTGTAAACCACACCTCCCAGGCTCAAGTGATTCTCCTGCCTCAGCCTCCCAAGTAGCTGGGATTATAGGCATACGCCACCACACCCAGCTATTTTTAGTAGAGACGGGGTTTCACCATGTTGGCCAGGTGATCGCAAACTCCTGATCTCAAACTGTGAAGGAATCAGCTAAAGTTGTGCCAATTTATTGCAGCAACTACTGGAGACAAATCTGCTGAATCCAAGGATGTGCCCAGGGAGCTGGATTTATGTTATATGTAAATTTTCGGTGCCACAAAGAAAAGTCAGCACTGGGACAAAGGATCTCTCAGCAAGGCAATCTTTACTTCCTGCAGAAAAGGGTACTTTCACCAGCAGTCTGACTCCAACCAGCCGAGAGCAGACACAGCAGTAGGATGATCCCAAATGTGTAAAGGATAAATATGTCTGCTTTCCCTTTGTTCATTTTACTCTCACGGCAAGATGGCTAACAGGAGCACCCTTTCTGCGGGAAGTCGTTTGCCTTGCAGTGAGTTGTGATACCGGCTCTCTATGGACCACACTGCCCCAACTGCTCAGCCAGGGGACTCGAAGCAAAGGACTCAAACCCTTGAACTAGGAGTTTTTAGACCGGGCTCCTGGGGAATCCATCGTTGAATTTCAGGGGGCGGAGGGTGGTTCATAAATTTTTAAAAATTGTATGAGAAACTGTGTGTGGTGTGCACATACATTCCTATTTTTCAAAGATGAGTGTTTTTTCTTTTTCAGATTCTCAAAGAGGTCATAAAAAATGGTTAAGAACTAACCACTAACCATTAACTGCTAATCTAAGAACAAAGTGTTTGCTCTTAGAGGTGTGTAAATCCAGCCCAGAGTGGGTGGGGAGGAATAAAGCACCTTTTAAATCAGGCCCAGCTCTGAGAGTTCATGCTGAGCCTGAGCGGGAGGGAAGCCATTGTAATGTGAATCAAATTAAGAGTGGTATCTTCAAATCTCTACAAACTCACAGCTCAGGGAGCTCTGCCCTAGGCCTGGCGAGAGGGTGATACAAGATTGGGTGGGGCATTTCCCTACTTTAGCTGGATAGTGAGTTATCTTATGAGAACAGCAGGTGGACAATATCCCGAGGAGTGAGGATTTAGGCACTCACAGGTTAGTATCTGAGGGAAGTAAAGGCAGAGATGACCACTGATGAGCACACAGGATACACACCACAAGTTCCAGGAACAGACAGCAGGGATTTCGCTCCTTCCACAATGTGGGAAGTGGCTCAGCTAGAAAGACCCTATGGGTACTATTTATAGACTGAGAAACTTGGGCTATGTATTTTTTTTCTTTTAATTCTTGAATCACTCCATTCATTCTTCATCTTGTTTTATTATTTTAATTTTGGCCCTTTTTGGTAAAAAGCATATTTTAATTGTACCTTTTTGTTCAGTTGCTTGCTTAATTTTTTTCTTCCTTTCTTTTTTTTTTTTTTTTTTGAGACAGGTTCTTACTCTATTGCCCAGGCTGGAGTGCAGTGGTGCAATCTCAACGCTGCAACCTTTGCTTCCAGGGCTCAAACAATCCTCTCATCTCAGCCTCCCAAGTAGCTAGGACTACAGATGCATGCCACGATGCCAGGCTAATTTTTTGTAGAGATGGGGTTTCACCATGTTACTTAGGCTGATCTCAAACTCCAGAGGAGATGGGGTTTCACCATGTTACTTAGGCTGACCTCAAACTCCAGAGCTCAAGTGATCCACCTGCCTCAGCCCTCCACCTCCCAAACTGCTGGGATTACAGGCGTGAGCCACAGTGCCCCGGCAGTTGCTTGCTTAATTTCTCTCTCTCCTACCTGACTGTAAGCTCCATGAAGGTAGGAGCCATGTCCGTTTCACTCAATAGTGTCCCCAACTCCTAGCACAATGCCTGTCTTAGTCCATCTGAGCTGCTATAACAAACTACTTTGCACTGAGTGGCGTGTAAATAACACAGATTTGTTTTTCACAGTTCTGGAAGCTAGGAAGTCGGAGATCAAGGTGCCTGCAGATTTGGTGGAAGCGCCTGCTTTCTGGTTCTTGCTGTGTCTCCACCCTCATAACCTAATCACCATTAAAAGGCTCCACCTCCTAATACAGTTTGGTGTAAAAGTACATTTATTTACTTATTTATTTAGAGACAGAGTCTTGCTGTGTTGCCCAGGCTGGAATGTAGTGGTGCGATCTCACCTCACTGCAAACTCCACCTCCGGGGTTCATGCAATTCTCCTGCCTCAGCCTCCGGAGTAGCTGGGATTACAGGCACCCGCCACCATGCCTGGCTAATTTTTGTGGTTTTTTTAAGTAGAGACGGGGTTTCGCCACGTTGGCCAGCCTGGTCTTGAACTCCTGACCTCGTGATCCGCCCGCCTCGGCTCTCCAAAGTGCTGGGATTACCGGCGTGAGCCTCCGCGCCCGGCCAGAAATGTCCATTTTAAAAGCACTAAGTTTACGACATATAAATAACATCTCCATAAAGCTGTATAAAAAATGAAATGATTTTTTTCAATCCTTCTGTAGAAATAATTTTTTCAAGTCATGTCTTGTTTTAAGCAAACTTACTAAAATCAATAAGGAGATTTAAAAATTACGGTAATAGTTTGCTCTCAAGAAAAACAGCCCTGTGTACTTGAACTGTGGCTGGACAGGAGGCGGCCGGTTCCAGAGATAAGCAGCTTCTTGGCTGTGGGGGCTGTGGTCTAGGAAGACATCCAGAAGCCAGGCTTGGGCGACTGCCTGGGGGCGGACGGTGCCGGGGACAGCTCCAGAAAGGAGAGTGAGAGGCGGATGTGGGGGTATTTGTTCTCCGGCATGTTAGTTTCCTCCTTCCTGGCCTTGCACCCCACCCTTTTTATTTCGCCCTGTCCGGTATCAGGACCAGGCCCCATTCACCTTGGGATCCCAGCACCCAGGCGCTTCAGCAGCGCAACTAATTGCATTGTTGGCTCGGGAAAGGTGCCGAATGCCGGAAGGGACGCCGTGCCTTACAGTGACCAGCAGGGACCCGGTCCTCCCCGAGCCCAGCCGCCTGCCCCGCTCCGGCCAGGATGTTGGAGGTGGGTGACCCCGAAGAGGTCCGCGGGGAGCTGGCGCCGCAGCGGGCCCCGCCGCGGGGGCTGCAGTCTTTGTGCCCCGGCAGCTCCCGGCTCCCGCCGCTGGGGGGCGGCCTCCTCCCCGCCGACCACGGACAATAGCGCGAGGGGTGGGGAGCGCGCGGTCCCGGAAACTTTTCCCCTGCGCCTCGGCGGCAGCCGCCGCCGGCGTCCGGGAGCGCGCCCTTCTCTGCCCGTGGTCGGTGCGCTCGGCCGGGACCGCTGCGGCAGAACGCAACCCGGAGAAGGGGGCTCGGGGCGGCCGGCGCTCGCGGCTGCCTGCGGCTGGGGAGGCTGCGCCCAGGTCCCCAGCCCCGCGGAGTGCGCCCAGCCGCGCCATGGAGGAGGCGCCCAGCCCCGCGCCCGCGCTCTGGGATTGGGACTACCTGGACCGCTGTTTCGCCCGCCACCGCGTCTGCATCTCCTTCGGCCTGTGGCTCTGCGCCTCCTCCTGCTGGATCGCCGCCCACGCGCTGTAATGGGGCCCGGGGTCGGGGTGGCTGCCGGGCAGGGAAAGAAGCGCCACGCCCCTGCTGCTCCCTCTTGGAAACCTAGAGGAGAGGGCGGAAAGGGGGGCTCAGTAACAGGATCCAATGGAACATTGCTCTGTAGACTGAAGTGGGGTACTTCTTTCCATATCCTACACACAGGGAAGCTGGGCTGTGAGCCACAGGGAGGAGGCTGGGTGGTGCAGCCGATGGGGCCCCCAGCACAACGCGAGCCCTGGTGCTGTTGTCAGCCCTTGCCCCATTGACTCGTGGTATGACCTTCGCAAGCTCTGGGCCTCCTGTGACTGGGGATAATACCTCATAGGATGATGGGAGGATTAAATGATTCGGTACGGGTAAAGCGCTTAGTAAGTGCTCATTAAACATCATTTGTATTGCTCCAGCTAAACCACCAACTCTTAGGACCTTGGCAAGTCCCTTGATGTTTCTGGCCTCGATTTACCCAAAGTCCTCTTAGATAGGAAGGGGAGTGACGATCCAACTGGCCTGTCTTTGCCCTGGTCTGTCCAGCACCTGGACTGGTTTCGCCAGATACTCACCATAGTTCTAAGAGTGAATCTCCAGGTCCTCAGCCGCCCTGTCCTAGGCTTGGAAATCCACTAGCATTGTCCAGGATTCCCTGGCAGGGGAGGAAGGACCAGCACCCCTGGGAGAGGTTACAGCTGTCTCCCCGTCGGTGCTCAGTGGTTATTCTCCTAAGGCATGCAGTCGTATTGCAGAGATTCTGCAGCCCCGCTACCCAGTGACTGGAATACAAATAAAAAGTCGCCTAGAACATTTGCTATGGGCCCAGCATTGCATTCATTTAACTCATTCAATGCCTGCCACTCAAAATCAGCACCCGGAGGTAGGTCCTGTCACCCCCACTCTCGGTAAGGAACCGTGAGGTTCTGAGAGTTTAACTTGTCTGAGTGAAAGGAAAGAACCAAAACCCCAGATCCTACTGAAAAGGCGCAGGCTGGTAGAAGAGGTTAAACTGTCCAGATTAGAGGCTGGAAACTAACAAGGCACCGGACACCCAGTATCCATCTGTTCCTCACAGAGTCCTCAGACCAGCACTGTTAGGCACTTTCCACCCTTGAAGGGGTTAAGAGCAAGCCCTGCTTCTCACCCTGCCTGGGATCTGGACATAACCCATTTGTTTTCAGGGCCTCGCCATCCCTGAACGTCCCCGTCCTCTTTCTCTTTGGAGGACGTGTCTTCGGAGTGGTGTGTGGGCTGGGTTAAGGTCAGCTGGAATCCTGGCCCCAAGAGCTGGGGAAGTGGCTGAGAACAGGGTATGGAGCAAAGCCCCTGCATGTGAAGCCAGAAGACCACCACTAACTCACCTTCTCACCAGAGGCCTCACTTTTCTCCTCTCAAATGGGAACATTGATATAAATTATTTCTAATTTGGGTCCGCCTCTGGGAGTCTCCAATTTAAGAATCTTCACTCCTGGTCCGGTACAGTGGCTTATGCCTGTAATCCCAGCACTTTGAGAAGCGGAGGCAGGTGGATCACCTAAAGTCAGGAGTTCGAGACCAGCCTGGCCAACATAGTGAAACCCCATCTCTACTAAAAATATGAAAAATTAGCTAGGCATGTGACAGGCACCTGTAATCCCAGCTACTCAGGAGGCTGAGGCAGGAGAATCAGTTGAACCCGGGAGGCGGAGGTTGCAGTGAGCCCAAAACTCCGTCTCAAAAAAAAAAAAAAAAAAAAAAAAGGATCTTCACTCCTTGGCCTTGAATTGGTTTTAGGAGCTCAGGACCCAGATCAAAGTTGATGTTGCCACTGTGAGCTTTGGGATTGGGCCAGGAGGTCAAGAAATGTTTAGAAGATGGGACGCGGTGGCTCGCGCTTATAATCCCAGCACTTTGGGAGGCCAAGGTGGGCGGATCACCTGAGGTTGAGAGTTCAAGACCAGCCTGAGCCACATGGAGAAACCCCCTTTCTACTAAAAATACAAAATTAGCCAGGCGTGGTGGCGCATGCCTGTAATCTCAGCTACTAGGGAGACTAAAGCAGGAGAATCGCTTGAACCTGGGAGGCGGAGGTTGCGGTGAGCCAAGATCATGCCACTGCACTCCAGCCTGGGCGACAAGAGTGAAACTCTGCCTCAAAAAAAAAAAAATTAGAAAACCAAAACCTTCTGTCATCCACCATTCCCAAGGACAGGCACTCAGAATCAGCCAAATTGTTCGAAGGATGTGGAATGAATGCCACCCTCTGGTTAACAGAAATGAAACCAGAGCTGCAGTCATGGCTCGGTGTCTCCAGAGAAATGTAGCAGTGTACAACAAGGCATTTCTGAGACCCTGTCAGTGGTGCTGATAGAAACCTCCGGCCTCTTCCAGCCCGTCCTGCCCTGCCCTTCCGTGCATATTCTCCGGTGGATATGGGCTGGAGAGGGGCCATAAGGAGAGAATCAACAGGGGGATTCTAAGGAAAGGTCAGCACAAAGTGCCAGAAAGGCTTTCCCCATGTAAAGAGCATGCTCATCGTGGACACGGGCTGGCAGAAGCCAGGCTGCCCCACTTCCCAGGTGGTTTAGAAGAATTTCACTTTAATTTATTTCAGAGAAACAAGTTTCTTTTTAATTTAGGCAGTTAACTCTGCTCTGTAGTTATCTGTAGTGGTGGGGTTGCTTTTTTTTTTTTTTTTTTTTTTTTTTTTGAGATGGAATCTTACTCTGTCGCCCAGGCTGGAGTGTGCAATGGCATGATCTCGGCTCACTGCAACCTCTGCCTCCTGGGTTCAAGCAATTCTCCTGCCTCAGCTTCCCGAGTAGCTGTGATTACAGGCACTCGCCACCACGCTTGGGTAATTTTTGTGTTTTTAGTAGAAACAGGATTTCATCATGTTGGCCTGGCTGGTCTTGAACTCCTGACTTCAGGCAATCAAAGTGTTGGGACTTGGCCTCCCAAAAGTGCTGGAATTATAGGTATGAGCCATCCCACCTGGCCTGGGTTACTTTTATAGCCCTCCTGTTTCCCTTTCAGAAAATAAAACCTGATGGCCACGTTTTCAGTGCTAAGTGGGGTGTCATCAAATGGAGCCAGCCTGATTTGGAGTCTGAACGTAATTCCTCTTCACTAAAAGAGGCGGTGTCTTCACATCTCATGAGGTCTAGCTCCTGCCACGGGCATCTGGACAGGCGGCTTGGGAGTCTTCTGATTGTTTCCCATCTGGAAACTAAGTTCAAAAACGCCTCCTAAATACCCTGGGGACACATGAGGATGCAGGTCATAGTTGCCTTTTTCAGATGCACGAGTTTGGGTCCAAACTCATGGGTTCTGTGTTCTGTCCACACCCCTGTCACCCCAGGCTTCTCTATCTGAGATGTGCAAAGAAATCCAGACAGGACCAGTCACCACTGTGTGCTGCGTGCTGCCTCCTGACCAGTCTGTGCGACACCGTGGGGGCTATTCTGGCCAGACAGCTCACAATCCAGGTATGTTGGGCCAACAGCTGACAGTGGCTTAGGCCAGCAGAGGCCTGACCTCGCTCCCTGCTGCAGCCACGTGGCTTCTGTCTTGCTGCTTCAACGTGTGTAGCAGCGTCGCCTCAGAGCCTGTGCCTTTGCTGTTCTCCGAGGCTCTTGTTCCCGATATCCACTTGGCTCCCTGCTTAGTCCTTCAATTCCTTGCTCAAAAGTCACCTTCTTATGACCAGGTGGGGTGGCTTAGGCCTGTAATCCCAGCACTTTGGGAGGCTGAGGCGGGTGGAACACTTGAGGTCGGGAGTTGGAGACCCTGTCTCTACTAAAAACAATATTAGCCGGCCGTGGTGCACGCCTGTGATCCCAGCTACTTGGGAGGCTGAGGCAGGGAGAATCACTTGAACCTGGGAGGTGGAGGTTGCAGTTAGCCGAGATCGCCGTACCGCGCTCCAGCATGGGTGACAGAGCAAGACTGTCTCAAAAAACAAGCAAAAAAAAGTCACCTTCTCAGTAAGACCTCCCCTGCTTATACACCTCTTCCACCAGTGTTCTGGATTCCATTATTCTAATCTATTTTTTTTTCTATAGCTTAATCCCTAATGCACCATTTACTTAATATGTGTACTCCTTTTTTTTGGAGACAGAGTCTTGCTCTGTTGCCCAGGCTGGAGTGCAGTGACATGATCTTGGCTCACTGCAACCTCTGCCCCCTGGGTTCGAGCAATTCTCCTGCCTCAGCCTCCTGAGTAGCTGGGATTACAGGTACACACCACAACACCCACCTAATTTTTTTTTAAGCCTTCTGCAGCTTATAACCCAGCTAATTTTTGTATTTTTAGTAAAGACAGGCTTTCGCCATGTTGCCCAGGCTGGTCTTGAACTCCTGAGCTCAGGACAATCTGAGTTTATTACTTCTCGTATGTGAACTCCCATTAGAATGTCAGCTCAACAAAGGCAAGGATTTGTTCAGTGCTGTATCCTTATCACTTTAAACAGCACCTGGCACCTAGTAGGTGCTTAATAAGTAATCATTTAGAGCTTTGACCCAGCCCCAGCTCATGTAGGGGTGGCTGAGTCTTTTCCCAGGTAGTGATACAGACTTTGGGGCAAGGGATAAGTAGCTTCAAGTTTCCCAAAAGCTTAGGCCCTCAGACAAACCTGTGTAGAAGGGTCCTATCCCAAAACACATATCCCCAGGAAATCCTGTTGTGCCCACTGTGGAAGCGCCTCCCGGGACTGTTCTTGGCCTTATGCCCATCCAGGTAGAAATGAAGGAGGGCAGCCTAGTGGGCAGGGCACAGATCTGGAGCATTCTAGACCCTGCTTCAAGCAGTGTGTTCTCAAAAGCAAATCACCTTTCATTTTGGGTGCCCGTTCTCATTAGCTAATAGAATTCAATAGGGCCAGCTGGGTGAGGTGGTTCCTGCCTATAATCCTAGCACTTTGGGAGGCTGAGGTGGGCACACTGCCTGAGGCCAGGCAAGACCAGCCTGGCAACATGGAGAAACCTAGCCCCGAGGGGTGGTACATGCCTATAATCCCAGCTCCTCGGGAGGCTGAGGCAGGAGAATAGCTTGAATCTGGGAGGCGGAGGGTGCGGTGAGCCGAGATGGTGCCGTTGCACTCTAGCAAAGATACTGAATGCCAAGACTCTCTTCCCATTTGCTCCCAGGTCTTCACAGGTGCCTACCTCGCAGCTATTGACTTAATGAACTTCATGTTCACTCTCTTCCCAGTCTGTGGGTCCAGATTCCAGTCTAATTCAGGTGAGTACATGGCTGGCTGTTTCTGTCTCTATTCACCCATTCATTCATCAGCACACCGAACGCCTACTCTTTATTTAATTTTTTTTTTGAGACGGAGTTTCGCTCTTGTTACCCAGGCTGGAGTGCAATGGCTTGATCTTGGCTCACCGCAACCTCTGCCTCCTGGGTTCAGGCAATTCTCCTGCCTCAGCCTCCTTAGTAGCTGGGATTACAGGCACGCACCACCATGCCCAGCTGATTTTTTGTATTTTTAGTAGAGATGGGGTTTCACTATGTTGACCAGGATGGTCTCGATCTGTTGACCTCGTGATCCACCCACCTCGGCCTCCCAAAGTGCTGGGATTACAGGCATGAGCCACCGTGCCCGGCCGAACGCCTACTCTTTAGAGCTCTCTGGGTGGGCACCAGCCAGATGCAGAGAAAGGAGAGGGTCTCATTAGGGCCGCCAGCTTGGAGGTGTGTGCACACTGTGGGCAACCAGAGGGAGGGAACAGCTGCTGATGTCAAGGAAACTCAGGGCACTAGGGCTGGGACCACAGGCTGGGCATTCGGGCGCACAGAGCCTCATGGGCAAAGGCTAGGAGGAGGGCAGAGCAGGGCCTGGGGATGAATAGTGATATCTCAGCGTGCAAGTTCGGGGTGGCCAGGTAAAGCTTCACAGCTGCTGGAAGTGGATGCCAGGAACAGGCACGGGGCACAACAGGCAGGGGCTGGAAATGATGGGGCCAGGATGAGTGGCCCTGAGCATCTGCAGCTGGGGCTTCTTGAGAAGGGTCAGCAGTGCGCTTGGACCCTTGTTTAAAAAGAAGGGATAAAGGGCTGGGTGCGGTGCCTCATGCCTGTAATCTCAGCACTTTGGGAGGCCGAGGCAGGCAAAGGGTGGTCAGGAGTTTGAGACCAGCCTGGCCAACATGGTAAAAACCCATTTCTACTAAATGAATACAAAAATTAACTGGACATGGTGGCATGCAGCTGTAATCCCAGCTACTTGGGAGGCTGAGCCCGGAGAATCGCTTAAACCTGGGAACTGGAGGTTGCGGTGAGCCAAGACAGCGCCACTGTAGTCCAGCATGGGCAACAAGAGTGAACTTCTTCTCAAAAAAAAAAAAAAAAAAAAAAGAAAAGAAAAGAAAAAAGAAAACGAAGGGAATGAACTGCATGTGCTGGCTCATCCCTGTAATCCCAGCACGTTGGGAGGCTGAGGCGGGAAGACCGCTTGAGACCAAGAGTTTGAGACCAGCCTGGGCAACATAGCAAGACCCTAGCCTGCAAACATTTTAGAAAGTAGCTGGGCATGGTGGTGCATGCCTGTGGTCCCAGCTGGGGAGACTGAGGTGGGAGGATCACTTGAGCCCTGGAGGTGGAGGCTGCAGTGAGCTGTGATTGTGCCAGTGCACTCTAGCCTGGGCAGCAGAGCAAGAAAAGACCCTATCTCAAAAATAAACAAATACATTAGAGGGACTGCTGCATCAGTGTGTAGTGTAGCATGCCCTCAGCTGCTCAGTGCTGGCCACTGAATTTTTTTAGTTTCTCAGGAGAGAGCTGGGCAGTGGTTTATACCTAGAATCCCAGCCACCAATGAGGCCGAGGTGGGAGATTGCTTGAGCCTAGGAGTTCAAGTCCAGCCTGAGTAATACAGTAAGACCTCATCTCTAAAAGAAAAACAAATACAATTGCTCAGAGGAGTGCCTATCTTACATTTCAAGGAAATTTTCAGACACCATTCGTGGCCGGGCAGAGTGGCTCACGCCTGTAATCCCAGCACTTTGGGAGGCTGAGACGGGCAGATCACGAGATCAGGAGTTCGAGACCAGCCTGGCTAACATAGTGAAACCCCATCTCTACTAAAACTACAAAAAATTAGGCAGGCGTGGTGTCAGGCACCTGTAATCTCAGCTACTCGGAAGGCTGAGGCAGGAAAATCACTTCAAACCAGGAGGCAGAGGTTGCAGTGAGCAGAGATAACGCCACTGCACTCCAGCCCGGGCAACAGTACGAGACTCCGTCTCAAACAACAACAACGACAAAGAAACAAAGGCCCCGCTCATTGCTGTTTGTCCCGTTCACAGTTCCTGCTAGTGCCATCACCGATTGGCTGGTTGATGCTCTTACCACGCTTAAGCTTGTAGCAGTTCTGCTCTGCAGGGACTGTAGAGACCACCAGGGCATGGTGCGTTATGCTTAAGAGCGCTAGTCCAGATGAGGCACTGCTGTCTGCATGCAGATACTTACCATAGAAGATAATGTCATCTCTCATCACTGCCTAAGGAAGAACAGCACCAGTTATGGGGGCAGGGGTATGCCTCAGTGGTGGAGAGGAAAGGCTCCTTGAAGAGGTGGCACAGCTACAGGACCCCAAAGGGTGGGGAGGAGCTGGCCTGCAGAATAACGTGGGACCCCATTTTGGCGTCATGTGGGGAGTTGACACCAGTTCTTTCCACGCAGCTATCTGACGAGTTCTAGGTCCCAGGAGCCACATGGGATTTTGGTGTCTGTTGCAGATTGGGAAGCCCGAGAGAGGAAGAGGAGGCGGCAGCTCGGGGCCGGCGTGTTTGCCCTGGCCCTGCCGCTGAGCCTGGGTCCGTGCTGGGCTCTCTGGGTTGCTGTCCCGAAGGATTCAACCACCATCCGGGGGCCGCAGCGGAGGCTGCTGGCGAACCTGCTGCAGGTGAGGCTGAGCCACTGCAGGGAGGACTGGGGGTACTGCATGTCCTGCCAGATGCCCAGGGTGGGACGAGGCGGGAGCCGGGGCAGTAGGGTTAAGCCTTCCATTGTTGGAAGAAACCTAAAAGCAGGAAAGGACTCCTGAGCTTTGGCTGTTTCTTGGGGCGCATGGGCAGACTCCGCAGAGTACTGATGGCGGATCACCTGTTCTTGCAGGAAAACCCTGAGATCCTCGGCTACCTGCTGGGTGGCATTGCTGCCTTCGGCTCCTGGGCTTCTCGGATCCCCCCTCTCTCCAGAATTGTGAGGCTGGGGGTGGGCCTGGGACCGTGGGTCACATGGCAGGTTTCAGGGCATCTGGGAGCATCCTGAGAGGGCCAGATCATGGGGCGGGGGTGTGGCATCACCGTGGGGGCATGCACGTGGACTCAGATTTTTCTCAAGAGCATTAGTGTGTATGACAGCAAGTAGGGGGTGTGTGTGGAGAGTGGGCAGCCAGCCCGGGGCGTTCTGAGGACTGCAGGAGCGTCTCGGGGAAAGCCCAGGTGTACTTTCCCATTTCCTGTAGCAAATGAAAAGCAAGCTCAGAGGAAAAAGCCCCTAAACTGGATAAACCCAGGAGAGAATGAAATTTGAGAGACTACAGAAGACAGCTATGAGGTTCTGTGTAGATCAAGAGTGTCTTACTGGCAGGCATTCTCCAGGCATCCACGTGAGGGAGTCCGTGTTGACCAGTCCTGGGGGGTAAGATGTGAGCAGAGCTGAGCGCTCGCCCTCCGGAGCTCACAGTCTTACGGAAGACACAGGAATGTGAAGCAGCATCTCCTAATGCTTGAAGAAGGATAGGAATGAATGTTTGGGGCCGGGCGTGGTGGCTCACACTTGTAATCCCAGCACTTTGGGAGGCTGAGGCCGGTGGATCACGAGGTCAGGAGTTCGAGACCAACCTGGCCAACACAGTGAAACCCCGTCTCTACTAAAAATACAAACATTAGCTGGACGTGGTGGCAGGCACCTGTATTCCCAGCTACTCAGGAGGCTGAGGCAGGAGAATTGCCTGAACCCAGGAGGCGGAGGTTGCAGTGAACCGAGATTGTGCCACTGCACTCCAGCCTGGGCGACAGAGCTAGACTCCATCTCAAAAAAAGAAAAGAAAACAAAGAAGCAAACATTTGGGATTTCAGAAGAGAGAAAGGAGAGAGAAGCCCTTACGCTCTTCAAATGAGCAAGGGTGAAAACTGTTTATGCTGCCAAACGGTGGGGTAGTGGGGAGGTGTCATGTTGGCTCAGAAGGGAATGTGAATTTCAGGACACAGGCTAGGGAAAGGCCATCGGCAGAGGAGAGCACACAGGAAAAGCCCCCATGTGTGAATGTGCCTGAGAAACAGCAAGACTGTGGACGTGTGCCAGTCGCTCTGCCAAGTTTCCTGTGCAGACGACTCTGAGACAGCTGCTCCTGTCTCACTGATTACACAGTGGCCAAATCCAACCCCGTGGCATGCCATAGGCCCATTTCGTCTAAAAAGAATCAGCCTGGTGCGGTGGCTCCTGCCTGCAATCCCAGCACTTTGGGAAGCCGAGGCAGGGGGATCATTTGAAGTCAGGAGTTCAAGATCAGCCTGGCCAACATGGCAAAACCTCATCTCTTTTTTTTTTTTTTTTTTTTTGAGGCGGAGTTTTGCTCTTGTTACCCAGGCTGGAGTGCAATGGCGCGATCTTGGCTCACCGCAACCTCCACCTCCTGGGTTCAGGCAATTCTCTTGCCTCAGCCTCCTGAGTAGCTGGGATTACAGGCACTTGCCACCATGCCCAGCTAATTTTTTGTATTTTTGGTAGAGACGGGGTTTCACCATGTTGACCAGGATGGTCTCGATCTCTTGACCTCGTGATCCACCCGCCTCGGCCTCCCAAAGTGCTGGGATTACAGGCGTGAGCCACCGCGCCTGGCCAAAACTCCCATCTCTACTAAAAATAAAAAAATTATCCAGGCACCGGGCGCGGTGGCTCAAGCCTGTAATCCCAGCACTTTGGGAGGCCGAGGCGGGTGGATCACGAGGTCGAGAGATCGAGACCAACCTGGTCAACATGGTGAAACCCCGTCTCTACTAAAAATACAAAAAAAAATTAGCTGGGCATGGTGGCGTGTGCCTGTAATCCCAGCTACTCAGGAGGCTGAGGCAGGAGAATTGCCTGAACCCAGGAGGCGGAGGTTGCGGTGAGCCAAGATCACGCCATTGCACTCCAGCCTGGGTAACAAGAGTGAAACTCTGTCTCAAAAAAAAAAAAAAAAAAATTATCCAGGCATGGTGGCGGGTGCCTGTAATTCCAGCTACTCGGGAGGCTCAGGCAGGCGAATCACTGGAACCTGGGAGGTGGTGGTTGCAGTGAGCCGAGATTGTGCCACTGCACTCCAGCCCAGGTGACAGAGCAATAATCCATCTCAGGAAAAAAAAAAAGTTTACTTGCCCAAGAGCGTCCTGATTAGCGTTCGGGGATGGAGCTTTGTTAGCGGTTGTTGGTAGTCAGTGAAGCTGAAGTCTGTGCTGTGACTGCCTCATGGGCCTCATCAGCAGGTGTCCTGTCTTTAGATTAATGGAGAGGAGAGTGGCGACCACCGGGTGGTCAGCAGCCCACCAGGGTGGCTCTCCAGGGTGGTGTCAGAGCTGGGAGGCCGCTGGCATGAAGACCTGTGAAGGAGCTGGCACAGTGCCCCAACCGCCCGTAGTAATTCCCTAGGGCTGTCCTAACAAAGGGTCACTAACTCTGAGCAACAAGAAGTTGAGGTCAGAAGTCAGAGATGAAGGCGCCGGCAGGGCCGTGCTCCCGCTGCAGGCGCTAGGGAAGGATCTGTTCCAGGCCTCACCCCTCTCCAAGGTTCAGGTAGCTCCTTGGCTTGTAACTCCCAGTTTCACGTGGCCTTCCCTCTGTACCTTTCTGTGTCCGACTTGCTCATTTTTATAAGGACATCAGACTAGGACCCACCCTAATGACCTCATCTTAACTGGATCATCCACAAAGACCCCATTTCCAAATAAGGCCACATTCACAGGCACTTGGGGTTGGGACTTCCACATCTTTGTTGTTGTTGCTGAGATGCAATCTCATCTGTCACCCAGGCTGAAGTGCAGTGGTGCGATCTCGGCTCACTGCAACTTCTGCCTCAGCTGCCAGAGTAGCTGGAATTACAGACGTGCGCCACCACACCTGGCTAGTTTTTGTATTTTTAGTAGAGATGGGGTTTCACCATGTTTGGCCAGGCTGGTCTTGAACTCCTGACCTCAAGCAATCTACCTGCCTTGGCCTCCCAAAGTGCTGGGATCACAGGTGTGAGCCACCGTGCCCAGCCTAGGGACTTCAACGTCTTTTGGGGTCATATATTGCAACCCATAACTCCACTCCACCTAAAACAGCCCCCGGGCCAGCCCCAGCACTGTGTATTTTTTTCAGAGCATTTGTAACAACCTGAAAGGTGCCCCTTATTTTCCCGGTTCTGCCTGGTCTGGCAGTGGAATGTTAGCACCTTGCAGGCAGTAGCCTTGTCTGATTGGTTTCCCACTGCCCTGCAGGCAGCTGGGACCTGATCATGGTAGGGGTCAGCAAACACTGAGAGAGCCATTTCATCTGGCCTGGAAAAAAAGGAAGCTGATGAGTGCACGAATCAGAAGGGCTGGGTGGGGGCAGAAAGAGCAGCCTTATTCTCTTAAGTCTCTGAGAACAGAACCAAGATGGGGAAGAGGTTGGGGATGGGCCTCTTCCGGTTTTTGTTTTGTTGTTTTTGTTTTTGTTTTTGAAATGGAGTCTTGCTCTGTCACCCAGGCTATAGTGCGGTGGTGTGATCTCGGCTCACTGCAACCTTCATCTCCCGGGTTCAAGCAATTCTCCTGCCTCAGCCTCCCGAGTAGCTGGAACTACAGGCACCCACCACCATGCCCGACTAATTTTTGTATTTTTGGTAGAGATGGGGTTTCACCATGTTGGCCAGGCTGATCTCGAACTCCTGACTTCATATCTGCCTACCCCAGCCTCCCAAAGTGCTGGGATTACAAGCGTAAGCCAACCGCGCCCAGCCATTGTTTTTGAGACCGAGTTTCGCTCATTGGCCAGGCTGGAGTGCAATGGCTCAATCCCAGCTCACTGCAACCTCTGCCTCCTGGGTTCAAGCAATTCTCCTGCCTCAGCCTCCCGAGTACAGGCGCCCACCACCATGCCCAGCTAATTTTTGTATTTTTAGTAGAGACAGAGTTTTGCCATGTTGGTCAACTCCTGACCTCAGGCGATCCACCTGCCTCGGCCTCCCAAATTGCTGACATTATAGGCATGAGCCACCACACCCGGCCCCTTCCTGCTGAGTGTAAGGTAGAGCTTCAGGGTAAGCCACTACACGCTGCCTGGCATCTGGACAGCCGCAGCATTCCCCCGTCTTAGGAGGTCATCCTCTCCCTGTCCCTACAAGGTATTAAAGCCTGAGGGCCCCTGGGCAGGATGCTAGAGTGAGATTCCACTAGGGATTCACAAAAGGAAATGTGGTATTTATAGGGAAGTAACTGCTGCCACCTCTCAGTGACTCTGGTTGCATGGAGGAGAGCCAGGGCTAGGGTTTCCTTCGTAGGGAGAAACCCAGCAGGATTTGGGATATTCTGGGAAGCCAGGCCAGCATGGCTTCCGACCTTGGCTCTCCCAGAAGCTGCTCCTAATTTGGCCATGGCGAGGTTGCTGAGGAGATGGCTGGGTGGCTTTGGTGGGAAAGTTCCCATTGCTCCAGGAGTGAGTCCTTGAATGGGACAAGGGGTCCGAAACAGCCACTGATGAGTGAAGCGTTGTGCTGACACCAGGAGTCCTGGCAGCTGCAGGCTCCATCTTGGCATGTTCTGCCTCTAGCCCCTACACGGACGTGCCAGGCAGCCCGTGGGGGGCGTGCTGTGGGCATCTGTCCTGCCTGTAGGCAAGGCCTGTGTAGGCTGGAGAGGACTGCCACGTCTCATTCAGCCACAGCAGAGTTCTGTTCTTTAGGCAGCGGTTAAACACCTGCTGTATGTCTGGTGCTGCAGATCAAAGCTCTCTGTTTTTTTCAAGGTCAGCCCCAGGCCTGACCCTGAGAAGAGACTGATTTGGAAGACAGTGGGCACTGTCACTGGTGAGCATGGGAGTGAGGGCAGAGGCTCCCAGTGCGGGCTCATCCTGAGCGGCAGCGAGAGCAAGGCCAAGAGGCAGGAGGCCCACGCCCAGCCAGCTCAGCACGCCCCCTCCCCTCTGGCCGGCAGTGTCCCCGGTATCATGGTGGTGGGGTGGTTAGACTGGGAGGCCCCAGGGACCTCTAGCCAGAGAGTGCTGCTCCTGTGTGAGTGGGAGGGCTGATGGGAAGGGGCATCGTCTCCACCCTCAGCCTCTGGGTCCAGTGGGCCAGGTCCCACCCTCCCAGCCGGCTGCCCCCACCTGGGGGAAGCGTTGGACTGTGCTCTCGCTGTGACGCAGTCTTCAGCGGGGCAGGCCAGACACAGGGAGGCCTGGGGACAAAACCGGAGGGGACGCAGATGGAAACGTGACGCTCTTAAGGATTCTTTTTGAGAGTTAAAATTAAAATGGAGCAAAATTGGCCAAAATAGCTTTTCCTCCTGATTGATTTCCATTCCCTAGCCAAGCCCCATGTATCTGTAAAGATGGTCATCGAATGAGTTTATATGTATATTAATGAGCCATCTAATGAGTTTATGTATATATTATATATAAACTAAATTTTATGTTATATGTAAACTAAATTATGCATAAACTTATCTATATATCATTTAATTTATATAAAATTATATAATTTATATAACATATAATTTATATAATTATTTAAATTTTAATTTATATAAATTATATAATTATGAAATTATACAAAAATAATAATTTGTATATATATGAACTCATCTAATTAATTTTAATTTAGTTTATATATAACTCATCTATTGAGTTTAATATATAAACCAAATCATTTACAATTTGTATTCATGTATATTTAAATATATAAGTATATAATCATAAATATATGGTGTTGGCCAGGCGTGGTGGCTCATGCCTGTAATCCTAGCACTTTGGGAGGCAGAGGCAGGTGGATCACAAGGTCAGGAGTTCAAGAACATCCTGGGCAAAATGCTGAAACCCCGTCTCTACTAAAAATATAAAAATTAGCCAGGCGCAGTGGCAGATGCCTGTAATCTCATCTGCTCAGGAGGAAGGCAAGAGAATCACTTGAACCGAGGAGGTGGAGGTTGCAGTGAGCCGAGATCATGCCACTGCACTCCAGCCTGGGCAACCAAGCAAAACTTCATCACAAAAAATATATATAGTGTTTAAGTATACATATTCATGTATATATAAAGTGACTTTCTGTATATAAACGCTACTTACATATAAATAGTGCATATTTCCTTTTTTTGAACCAATATTTTCATAACATATGCTCCAGAAATGTCCTCTTGGCTTTAAAATTTTCAGAATATCATCTCTCATTTTTCTGACCTTCCCCATCTGGCTCAGAATTGGCGGTCCCAGGGAGAGAAGGGTCAGGACTCAGCTCTTCTAATTCGATCTCTGTGTTTGGCATTTCTTGCGTTGCTCTAAAGGAATGCCTCAGGCCGGGTCATTTATAACGAAACGAGGTTTAATTGGCTCCCGGTTTTGCGGGCTGTCCAGGCATGGCGCCAGCATCTGCTGGGCTTCTGCGGAGGCCTCCAGGAGCGTTTACTCATGGCAAAAGGCAGAGCGTGAGCAGGCCCGCCACTTGGAGAGAGAGTGAGACAGAGAGTGCGCTCAAGACGGTGGGAGGGAAGGTCCCACACATTTTTAAACAGCCAGATCTCAAGAGAATGCACTCACAATCATTGAAGCAGCACCCAGAGGATGGTGCCAAACCATTCATGAGAAATCCACCCCGTGACCCAGTCACTCCCCTCCAGCCCCACCTCCAACACCGAGGATTACGATTCAGCATGAGATCTAGGGGGACAAATGTCCAAACCATACTACTCTCCCTCCTGTTCTCCCAGCGGACATTGGTGAGCCCTTGCCCAGCGTCAGGTGCTGGGACACTGAGATGGTGAGGACCCTGCCCAGCTCTCAGGAGCCCTCTGACTGTGTAAAGAGCTGAGTCATGATCAGTAAAAGGTAGTCCGCTAGAGGGATGTGTTAGGGCCCAGCAGAGGGGGTTGCTTGCACCCCTTAGGATGGAGTTGGTAAGGGAAGGTTTCCCAGGGTTAAGTTCAAGCCAGGTTCTGAGGGATGAGTAGGAGTCTGACAGGCAGAAGAAGCAACTTGAACAAAAACTGGAAATGTAACAGAAGCATTGCCCTGGGGGACTGGCTGTGGGCAGAGGGCTTGCCCGCAACCTGCTGTGCCACTGAGGGACCTGGGTCTTGTGATCTGGTGCTCCTCCCTGCCCAGCCCCTTCCTCTCTCTGTGCAGTGCCGGGGGAAGACATTTCCCTCCATCCACCTGTGGGCCCGGCTTCTGTCGGCCCTGGCTGGCCTCCTCTATGCCTCGGCCATTGTGGCCCACGACCGGCAGCCTGAGTACCTCCTGCGAGCCACACCCTGGTTCCTGACCTCCCTGGGCCGCGCTGCACTGGACCTCGCTGTATCCACCTAGGCCTGGGGAGCTCCCTGCCTGCAGCCAGAGGAGGCCTGTGTCTCCACCACTCCCTGCCCCTGCCCCACTCTCCTTTTCTCTTGCTAGATGGAATTCTCCCAGCAGCCAAGGGGTGGTTTGAAGGTCGGGGCAGGCAGGCTGGGTGTGGTGGCTCACACCTGTAATCCCAGCACTTTGGGAGGCAGAGGTATGTGGATCCCCTGAGATCAGGAGTTCGAGACCAGCCTGACCAACATGGAGAAACCCCCTCTCCACTCCAAAAACAAAACAAAACAAAACAAAATTAGCTGGGTGTGGTGGTGTGTGCCTGTAATGCCAGCTACTTGGGAGGCTGAGGCAGGAGAATCACTTGAACCCGGGAGGGAGGCGGAGGTTTTGGTGAGCCGAGATCAAGCCATTGCACTCCAGCCTGGTCAAAAAGAACGAAACTCCATCTCAAAAGAAAAAAAGAAGAAGAAGAAAAAGCCTGGGGCAGGCAAACACAAATGCAATTATTTGTAGTTTTATGTTTCTCTTTTTTTTTTTTTTCTTTCCTTTTGAGACAGTCTTGCTATGTTGCCCAGGCTAGAGTGCAATGGCGTGATCTTGGCTCACTGCAACCTTCACCTCCCAGGTTCAAGCAATTCTCCTGCCTCAGCCTCCCAAGTAGCTGGGTCTATAGATGCGTACCATCACGCCTGGCTAATTTTTGTATTTTTAGTAGAGACTAAAAATGTTTGTGTTTTTAGATGCTGCCTGTGGGTAATGGCTATGCTGTTGGTGGGGGGTGGGGGGAGGCGGGTGCGAAGGCAAAGCAGGGCCCACCCTCTCTGCAGGCACTAGAGGGGAGTCTTTGCTTGCCTCTTCCAGCTGCTGGTGGCTCTTGGTGTCCCTTGGGACATGGCAGCATCATTTTCATTTCTGCCTCGGCCTTCACATGGCCCTCTTCCCTTTGTATATTTTCGTGTGTCTCCTTTTCTCACAGGGACTCCAGTCGCTGGAGTCAGGGCCCAGTCTAATCCACAGTGACTCCATTGTCTCTAATTATATCAGCAAGGACCCTGCTTCCAATAAGGTCACACGCTGGGCCAGGCGTGGTGGCTCACACTTGTAATCCCAGCACTTTGGGAGGCTGAAGTGGGTGGATCACCTGATATCAGGAGTTCGAGACCAGCCTGGCCAACGTGGTGAAACCCTGTCTTACTAAAAATACAAAAATTAGCTGGGCATGACGGCAGGTGCCTGTAATCCCAGCTCCTCGGGAGGCTGAGGCAGGAGAATTCATGAGAAATCCACCCCATGACCAGGAGAATTGCTTGAACTGGGGAGGCGGGGGTTGCAGTGAGCTGAGGTCATGCCACTCTAGCCTGGGCAACAGAGAAAGTCTCTGTCTCAAAAAAAAAAAAAAAAAAGTCACATTCTAAGGTGGATCTGAATTTTTGGGGACACTATCCAACACACTGCATGTATTGTCACTGTAAGCCAGGCCCGTCAAGGAAGATGTTCCAGGCCAGGCACGGTGGCTCATGCCTGTAATCCCAGCACTTTGTGGGGCCGAGGCGGGCAGATTGCGTGAGATTGGGAGTTCGAGACCAGCCTGACCAATATGGAAAAACCCTGTCTCTACTAAAAATACAAAAGTAGCCCGGCATTGTGGCACATGCCTGTAATCCCAGCTACTCGGGAGGCTGAGGCAGGAGAATCGCTTGAACCCAGGAGGCGGAGGTTGTAGTGAACTGAGATTGCACCATTGCACTCCAGCCTGGGCAGCAAGAGTGAAATTCCATCTCAACAACAACAACTACCAAAAAAAAAAAAAAAAAAAGATGTTCTTCCTAATGCTTTTGTTTTGCAAATATTTACCAAGTGCTTGTTAGAGACAGGGTCTCATTGGGTGCTGGGCCCTTGTGGGGACAGGTCTGTGTGTCTTCAGAGGAGCTACTCTGTCGCAGGCAGGATAAAACTGGGGAGGGGGGAGAGTAGGCGAGTCGGGGTGGGGGGCAGCATGGTGTGAAGTATGAAGGGCTGCGGTAGGCGGCTGGAATCTGCTTCCTGCCTTAACTTCCACCATCTCAGATTATTTTCCTTTCGTGTGTGATGAAGAGCAAGATGAGACAGGCCTTGGGATTTGCCACTGAAGCCAGAGAGAGCCCCGACAGCCAAGCCCTTCTGACCTGTGCAGAGAAAGAGGAAGAGGAGCAGGAGGCGAGGAACGAGCACAAGGTCTCTGGCTGGAAAACTCTGGTCCCAGCAACAGTATCTTGAGGAACAGCAGGATGCTGTGGACGTGTGAAAGCTGCCTGCTGAGTGTTCTCTGCAGGCGACAGACAGCTGTCCTGTGTTGCTGACGGAACAGTGGTTAAACCTAACATGACATGTAATGGGCCCATCGTGTTTACTGGCATGGAGTGGACGGGGTGGTGAGCCACAGTGAGGGCTGGGGCTTAGGAATTCTGGAAGTCCCTCCCTGCTTGGCCAGTTGGTCACTTGATTTTTATTTGTATTTTATTTTACTTTATTGTTATTTATTTGTTTGTTTGTTGAGACACAGTCTTGCTCTGTTGCTCAGGCTGGAGTGCATTGACGCAATCTTAGCTCACTGCAACCTCCACCTTCTGGTTTCAAGCGATTCTCCTGCCTTATCCTCCTGAGTAGCTGGGATTACAGGCATGTGCCACCACACCTGGCTAATTTTTTTTTTTTTTTTTTTTGAGATGGAGTCTCACCCTGTCATCAGACTGGAGTGCAGTAGCACGATCTCAACTCACTGCAACCTCCGCATCCTGGGTTCAAGTGATTCTCCTGCCTCAGCCTCCTGAGTAGCTGGGACTATCGCTGTGTACCACCACGCCCAGCTAATGTTTGTATTTTTAGTAGAGACAGGGTTTCACCATGTTGGCCAGGATGGTCTTGATCGCTTGACCTCGTGATCTGCCCGCCTCGGCCTCCCAAAGTGCTGGGATTACAGGTGTGAGCCACCGCACCCAGCCAATTTTTTGTATTTTTAGTAGAGACAGGGTTTCACCATGTTAACCAGGCTGGTCTCAAACTCATGACCTCAGGTGATCTGCCCACCTCTGCCTCCGAAAGTGCTGGGATTACAGGCGTGAGCCAGGGTGCCCAGCCCACTTGGTCACTTTAAAAAGCTACTGTTTATGTTCAAATCTAAGGGAACCCTGAATGCAATAGGATCCTCCATTTTCCCAGTTATACAAATATTTTGAAGTTTTTTTGATCACTTAATGACTTAATATATTTTTAGCAATGTAGATGAAATAGTCAAATGCCCACTGAATTCTTTTGAATAATTTACTTAGTGGTATATAAGTTCACATGCTACCTACCTTAATATATTCATTTTTAAATAATGTGATTTGGTCCGGGTCCTGTAGCTCACATCCGTAATCCCAACACTTTGGGAGGCCAAGGCGGGCGGATTGGTTGAGCTCAGGAGCTCAAGACCAGCCTGGGCAACAGGGTTAAACCCCGTCTCTACTAAAAATACCAAAAATCAGCCGGGCGTGGTGGTGGGTGCCTGTAGTCCCAGCTACTCAGGAGGCTGAGGCAGGAGAATCACTTGAACCCAGGAGGAGGAGGTTGCAGTGAGCTGAGATTGTGCCACTGCACTCCAGCCTGGGCAACAAAGTGAAACTCTGTCTCAATAAATAAATAAATTTTAAAAAGTAAAAATGTTGTTTACTGTAATATCAAACCTTTACAATTATGTCATGCCACTGCCAAAAGTTAACGTGTCCCCTTTTATTGATTTAAATAGGTGACCTCCGTAAGTAGCCAGAACTTACTCTATTCTAATTGAAGCCATTTGTCTTCATCAAAAGTCTTTGGTTCCAAATAGTTGAGAAAGCACCTCAAGGAAAGCTTGAAAGGACTTGAATATCAAGTGGCTCCCTTTTTTCTAAGATTTCTTTTTTTTTAAGACACAGTTTCACTCTTGTTGCCCAGGCTGGAGTGCAATGGTGCAATCTCAGCTCACCACAACCTCTGCCTCCTGGGTTCAAGCGATTCTCCTGCCTCAGCCTTTCGAGTTGTTGAGATTACAGGCATGTGCCACAATGCCAGGCTAATTTTGTATTTTTAGTAGAGACGGGGGTTTTTCCATGTTGGTCAGGCTGGTCTCGAACTCCTGACCTCAGGTGATCCGCCCGTCTTGTCCTCCCAAAGCACTGGGATCACAGGTGTGAGCCACCAATCCGGCCCTTTTATTTATTTATTTATTTATTTATTTGGGGAAAAAATTTCTCATGTATTACCTGAACTCTTCACTACTGACTCCTCTCACAGAGAGTGGGAATGAGGCTGTAAGTGAACCTCCTTCGTGACCAGGATGGAGGAAGTATTGGGGAGTGCATTTGGACCGACAAAAACGAAAACTGCTCCTCCCAATGTTCTCCAAAAGGCTTACCGATGTGATCCAACTGAGTCAATGAAATAGAAGATCATGGTGTATTTATATATGACAGATGAAAGCGTTTTATATAGGTCCTCAGACCAGAGATCCAAGTTCCTAGTGAAGGCCCTAGTGGGAAGTTATTTTCATTTCTTTCTAGTAATTGTTAGGAAATTGTATCCCAAAAGGGGGCTAAAATAGTAACAGGGCCCTGTGTGTCTTGGAGTTCTGAAGAGAGAAGTAGAAGCCTTTGGAGTCTCTTTAGCAATCCTTCAGAGCAGTGGCCCTAAACCAGGATTACCTAGGACATGTTAGAAATGCAAATTCGAGGGCTCCACCCGATCTCCCGAATCTGAAACTGAGGGTGTGGTCCAGTAATATGCATTTTATTTATTTTTGAGATGGAGTCTCACTCTGTTGCACAGGCCGGAGCGCAATGGCATGATCTCAGCTTATTGCAATTTCCGCCTCCTGGATTCAAGCGATTCTCCTGCCTCAGCCTCCCGAATAGCTAGGATTACAGGTGCCCGCCATCATGCCGGGACAATTTTCGTATTTTCAGTAGAAATGGGCTTTCACCGTGTTGGCCAGGCTGGTGTTGAACTCCTGACCTCGGGTGATCTGCCTGCCTCCACAGGCGTGAGCCGCTGCGCCCGGCTGTAGTCTGTATTTTAGCAAGCCCACAGGGTGCTTCTCATGTGCACCAAAGTTAAAGAACCACAGCTTCGCAAAAGCACTTATTTGGCACCTATTGCAGTGGTTCCCACATTTTGCTGCATGTTAAAAGCATTTGGGGAGCATTTAAACTATCCACTTCCCCGGTTACATCTCATGCCAATGAAATCAGAATCTCTGGAAGTGGGAAGGAAATATTCATCGTTTTGTTTGTAAGACAGGGTCTCATTCTGTCACCTAGGCTGGCATGCAGTGCCTCCATCACAGCTCACTGCAGATCGCTGCTCAGTGATCTTAAAAAACAAAATAAAGAAGGATGAGTTCATGTCCTTTGCAGGGACATGGATAAAAAAGAAAAAGAAAAAACAAACAAAATAAGCCAGGTGTGGTGACTCATGCCTATAATCCCAGCACATTGGAGGCTGAGGTGGGAGGATCACTCCTGGATCATTGAGCCCAGGGGTTCAAGACAAACCTGGGCGACACAGTGAGACTTGTCTCTATAAAAAAATAAAAAACATAGGCCGGGCACGGTGGCTCAAGCCTGTAATCCCAGCACTTTGGGAGGCCGAGGCGGGTGGATCATGAGGTCAAGAGATCGAGACCATCCTGGTCAATATGGTGAAACCCCGTCTCTACTAAAAATACAAAAAAGTAGCTGGGCATGGTGGCACATGCCTGTAATCCAAGCTACTCAGGAGGCTGAGGCAGGAGAATTGCCTGAACCCAGGAGGCGGAGGTTGCAGTGAGCCGAGATCACACCATTGCACTCCAGCCTGGGTAACAAGAGTGAAACTCCATCTCAAAAAAAAAGTAAATAAATAAAAAATAAAATAATAAAAAAAAACATGAAAAATAAAGATTTCTAGCTGATTCTACTATGCTGCAAAATTTGGGAACCATTGAATTACTGTCGCCTCAAAGAGAAAGATAAGATACATCTTATAGGAAGCAGAAAGTGAGATGTGCTGTAAAAAAAAGAGAGAAAATACCACGGGGGTTCTTTTGGATAAAGTGTGACCTTGTTTTTAGAAAATGCCTCCTAACTTAGAATCCTTTCTGTCTCCCTGCCTCTACTTGCAAGAATTCTGATTGGGTGCCTCTCACCACACTGTCACACTGCAAGTCACTCAGGACAATGACAGCAATCAGTCGATACATGGAGCTGAGCATCGAGCCTGTGCAGCAGGTGAGTGGCCATCGGTTACATCCAGGTGCCCAAGAGCGGGGGAAGCAGTCATAGAAGGCTTTCTGGAGGAGGTGATGCTTTAGCTGAGGGATGAGCAAGACAAAGCAGAGAAGCAGGTAAAAAAGGAGCTCTCCAAATGGGGGTGTTGGAGAGAAAAATATTTTCCCTGTACCCTTATAACTGATGAAACTTAGACTAACGAAAAAAAAAACCCAGCTTTAGTTACTTGTACATGGAAATTTACAAAGAAAACTGTGGCTCAAGGAGGTGGCTGGATGATGGTGGCTTATATATCATATTAGGCTGAGTAAAGGGAAAGAGGTTTAGGGTTCTGGGGTGGGAGGCAAGCTGAGGGAGGACCTGTGTGATAAGTAGGGGCTGTCTTGCTATACAGGTAAGAGTCTCACGGGTGACAAGCGTTGTTTCTGGAGGTAGCTCTCTTCCTGGTGCAGAAATATCGTTACAAATGGAAACTTCCTTTATAAATAGAAATTTCCTTTATGAAAGGGAAAATGTATACTCTATTTTCAGGCAGTTAGGGGAGGTTAATAGCTCCTGTTGCTTTTCAAACACCTTTAAGTCTAAAGAATCCATATGCTGGCCGGGCACAGTGGCTCACGCCTGTAATCCCAGCACTTTGGGAGGCCAAGGCAGGCGGATCACCTGAGGTCAGGAGTTTGAGACCAGCCTGGCCAACATGGTGAAACCCCGTCTCTACTAAAAATATAAAAAATTAGTCAGGCATGGTGTCACATGCCTGTAATCCCAGCTGCTCAGGAGGCTGAGACAGGAGAATCTGGGAGGCAGAGGTTGCTGTGAGCCGAGATCGCACCACTGCACTCCAGCCTGGGCAACAAGAGTGAAACTCCATCTAAAACAAAAAGGAAAAAAAAGGAATCCATATGCTAAAGAGGCATATTTCGGGGTGGCATATGCTGGTACCCTTCAGGAGTGACGGGAGATGAAAGGGTGGAGGAGGCAGAGGTCGGGCCATTTAGATGTGGAGTCTATCATGTTGAGGGTGATGGGAATCAGGAGGCTTGCAAACTGCAGACTCAGGGTCACATGTGCATTTTAGAGCCATCCTGGGAAGTTGTCTTGGGTGGCCTGGGGCAGAGGAGACTAGCAGCTGAGCAGCCTGTCAGGGCTAGTCAGAAGCCCGAGGAAGAGGCAGTGTGACTTAAACAGAGGTTGGAGCAGGCAGAGAAGCAGAGACGGAGTTGAGAGAGACAGAAGTAGAGCATTGGAGGGGAGGCTCCGGATGACTCCCTGAGTTCTACACGAGGGGTCCTCACTAGGAAGAGGATTGGGAAAGAGGTGACAAGAAGTTTGCCCCCTGTCCCACAATTCCACCCATATGGTTCTTGTCAAGGTCACCGATGACCTCCAAGCTGCTAAATCTACCGTCATTGCATTCTGAGATTCCACGAACCTGGCCACCAGCTGCTCCCGGCGCCTGTGGCCCGCACTCTTCTGTGCTTTCTGCCCTTTCACAGGCTCTTCTTTGCCCGCAGCCTCTGCTGGCTCCTCTGGGTAAGCTTGACTGTAGAGAGGGAGTCCAACACCCTGTCCCAGGCAGGCTCCCTGCTCCTGGTGGACCCCTGCAGCCCCACAGTCGCCTCGCTCTGCATACCAGTTCTTGCTGACTTCCCGGTTCGTGTCTCCATCCTTTCCCCTCCCCTCAGTTCCCGTCTCCGCTGCCCAGCTGCCCATTCAGCTGTCACCATATGGCGTCTCACACTTACCGTGTCCAACAGAGTTCTGGGTTTCCATGCCCAGACCGGCTCCTCTTCCTGCCCTCCTCATCGCAGTAAATGACGCACTGTCTATGCAGTGGCTTAAGCCCAAAATTCCTCTTTCCCCAGCCCCACCCCCATGCCCATCCATTCCTTTTGAGAGTCCTGTAAATGCTTCCTTATTTAAACTAGGTCTTGAGTCCAGTGGCCTCCTGGCTGGTCATCCTCTCCACTTCTCCTCTGGTCCTGCCCTGCCCATCTCTAACAAGCAGCCAGAGGAATCATTCACAAATGTAAATTACATCTTGTTCCTCTTTTGTTTAAAACACTCCTGGCCGGGCGCTAGCTCATGCCTGTAATCCCAGCACTTTGGGAGGCCAGGCGGGCGGATCACGAGGTCAGGAGATAGAGACCATCTTGGCTAAAAAGGTGAAACTCCGTCTCTACTAAAAATCCAAAAAAAAAAAAAAAAATTAGCCAGGCGTGGTGGCACATGCCTGTAGTCCCAGTTACTCGGAGGCTGAGGCAGCAGAATTGCTCGAACCCAGGAGGTGAAGCTGCAGTGAGCTGAGATGGCACCACTGTACTTCAGCCTGGGTGACAGAGCAAGACTCTGTCTCAAAACAAATCAAAAAAACAAACAAACAAAAAAAGAGGCCAGGGCTCTCAGTGGCCCACACCTGTAATCCCAATGCTTTGGGAACCTGAGGTAGGAGTATCACGTGAGGCCAGGGGTTTGAGACCAGCCTGGACAACGTAGCAAGACTCCACCTCTCATCTCCTTTTCATTCTCGTCTAGCTGCACAGAGTTTATCTCCATTCCTCTGCCCGGAATGCTCTTCCTCCTGATTTTTCACATGGCTGCCTTTTCTTGTCTTTCCAGCTTCAACATAAATGTCTTCTCCAAAACTCTTACCACCACGTCCGAAGTAGGACCCCTCTGCCCTGCGCTCTATTTTATTACTGGTTTCAATTCTCTACAAAGCACTCATCACTGTCTTTTACTTTGGTTTGTCTGTGTCTTGCTAAGATGTACACTTTATCTCCTGTCTTGTTGACTCCTGGTGCCTATACCATTGCAGTCCTGGGCTCACAGTAAAGGTGTGTTCTGAATACATGGTCCAGTGGTGAGGGCCTTGCCAGGCTGCCCAGACACACTGGTACCTGCAGAGAGTCTGAGCCTGAGAGAGAGGTTTTGTTCTTTGCCATTGATGCTCCTTGGATACTGTGTGCACAGAACCTGGTGTATGACCTACGTGAAGTTCAGAGAGATTCAGAGCATGCCTTTACAGCTCGGAGCCCGCCTCAGCTGTGAAACCATCCTTCCAAAGGGAGGGAAGAGGCAGGGCGATTGGGGAATCTCTTGGTAAGGCATGGGAGTTCCTGCAGCATCTGGGCAGAGCTTTGCACTGAAAAGTTGTTTCTTTGCTTTTTTGAGTTGGAGTTTCCCTCTCATTGCCCAGGCTGGAGTGCAATGGTATGATCTAAGCTTACCACAACCTCTGCCTCCTGGGTTCAAGGGATTCTCCTGCTTCAGCCTCCCAAGTAGCTGGGATTATAGGCGTGTGCCACCACACCCGGCTAATTTTGTATTTTTAGTAGAGATGGGGTTTCTCCATGTTGGTCAGACTGGTCTTGAACTCCCTACCTCAGGTGATCCACCCACCTCAGCCTCCCAGAGTGCTGGGATTACAGACATAAGCCACCACGCCCAGCCTGCGCTGGAAAGTTCTACCTCATGCGACTTCCAAAGAATAGTGTAAAAGTTATATTCACTTTAACCCTTCTGAGAGCTCAGTCTTGGCAGGATTCTTGTTGGGAAACAGACTCCATGAAAGAAGAGCGTGTTCCACCTTCATTCTCTCCCACCGAAGCCCACAGGGGTGTCTTCAAGCTTCCATCCAGCTTCTTCCTTCTGTGTCCATTGGAGGCCAAGACAAAGCCCCAAGCCCCACTGTCCAGCTGGGTGGCAAGCGCCTCCCTCAGCACTGGGGGCACCCATCTCCTCATGGCCTATCTACTGAGGGGGACGGACTTGCCAGGCTCTGAGTAGAGAAAGCAGCCAACACTTCCATGGTACTTATGGGTTAGAGTACTGGTCTAACACTTTACATGGATTAACTCCCCACAGCCGACTCCTGAGCTGTTACGCTCATTGCACAGATAAGGAGACTGGGGCTTGGAGCGGGTAAGTGACCTGCTCAAGGTCACACAGTTTGTCAGTGATAGAACCGGATTCAGACCCGTCTCTACCTGAGTTTGTGCCATTGACCTCTGTGCCATACAGCCTTTTACTTGACATAATGGTTGACACCAAATAAACATTTGATAAATGGCAATTTATTTATTATTATTATTATTTTTAAAGATGGGATTTCACCGTGTTAGTCAGGCTGGTCTTGAACTCCCAACCTCAGGTGATCCGCCCGCCTTGGCCTCCAAAATGCTTGGATTACAGGCGTGAGCCACCGCGCCCGGCCGGCAGTTTATTCTTAATAAAATAATACTATTGACTGGGTATGGTGGCTCACGCCTGTAATCCCAGCACTTTGGGAGGTAGAGGCGAGTGGATCACTTGAGGTTAGGAGTTCGAGACCAGCCTGACCAAAAGGTAAAACCCCATCTCTACTAAAAATACAAAAATATTAGCCAGGCATGATGGTGGGCACCTGTAGTCCCAACTACTCGAGAGCCTGAGGCAGGAGAAACGCTTGAACCCAGGAGGTGACGGTTGCAGTGAGCCTAGATCATGCCACTGCACTCCACCTGGGTGACAGAGCCCGACTCTGTCTCAAATAAATAAACAAATAAATAAAAATAAAATGCTACTACTTAGCATGTAAGTGTTAATAAAAATTATCCTAACAATGTTACGAGGAAGTGTCCTAGTCTGTTTTGCATTGCCATAAAGGAATACCTTCGGCTGGGTAATTCAGAAAGATAAGAGGTTTCTGTAGCTCATGTGTTTATATGGCACTAGCATCTGCATTGATGAGGCCTTCGGCTGCTTCCACTCATGGAGAAAGGCAAAAGGGAGCAGGTTCCACATGGCAGGAGAGAGAGGAGGGGCTGCCGGGCTCTTTCTAACAAGCAGTTCTTGCAGAACAAAGTGAGAACTCACTTACGTGAGAATCACACCAAGCCACTCAGAAGGGCTCTTCCCCACGACCCAAACGCTCCCACCGGTCCCCACTTCCAACACTGAACTCACATTTCAACATGAGACTCAGTGGAGCCAAACGAACCACTTCCAAACCAGAGCAGAGAGATACTAGTATTATTTCTATTTTCTTTTCTTGTCTTTTTTTTTTTTTTTGAGGCAGAGTCTCACTCTGTTGCCTAGGCTGGAGTGCAGTGGCACCATCTCGGCTCGCTGTGACCCACAACTCCTGTGTTCAAGAGATTCTCAATTCTCGTGCCTCAGCCTCCCAAATAGCTGAGACTGCAGGCACATGCCACCACGCCTGGCTATTGTGTGTATGTGTGTGTATTTTTAGTAGAGAAGGGGTTTCACCATGTTGTCCAGGCTGTTCTCGAACTTCAGACCTCAAGGGATCTGCCTGCCATGACCTCTCAAAGTGCTGGGATTACAGGTGTGAGCCACCATGCCTGGCCTATGTCTATCATTATTATTTTATTAACAATTAATAATGTTATTTTAAATTGAGGCACAGAGAGGTCAAGTAACTTGCCCAAGACCCCACAGTTAGAAAAATCACAGAAATAGGATTCAAACCAAGCCTGTCCGATTTGGGGACCTGGGCTTTTATAAAGAGCATATGCCCTCTGTGCGTCATTTTGCACCTGCTCCAGTAGCAGTTTTAAACATTGTTATAGCATTGTGTAATGTGACTGTCCCAATGGGCAAGACTGGGGGAAACAGGCACCCTTGTTGGCCATGTGCACTGATAGGTATCCCGTCGGAAGAGCCATCTGGAACTGGGTAAGGAGAGCTGCAGAGGTGCTCCCTTGTTTTCCCAGCAACACCCCCCGCCCCACAGCTGGTCCTATGGAGCGATTTTCCAGGAGACGCAGGGGGCGCAGCTCCGTGGTTCAGGCTGAGCCTCGAGAGGGGCAGAGGTGCATGGGGCCACATGGATCAACTCTCGTATCCTTGGCTTGGAGCATCTGAAAACTGTTTCATCTGTTGACTCGGGTGTGATCAGGCCCTGGGCATTTATAGAATGTGTCATTGTTGTTCCTGGGAGGCATCTGCTTCCCCACCCCCATCCAGAGCTTTCTGTTTTAGCCTCCTTCCCAGCTGGGCATCAGGGTGGCCCTCCCCTGTGTTCCTGGGCTGCTTCCAGAATGCTACCTTTGTTTCTCTTGTAGATTTTCTCTGCCCGTCCAGCTGACTCTCACATGAACCTGTGCACTTAACCCATCAAGGGCAGAAGCCCTGCTTGATTCGGGTCAAGTACTCATAGCCATTCTTCTCATGTGTCCAGGGCATTTACAGCTGAGCCCTATGACACCCCCTCACTGGAGGCGAAGCAGGGATTATCGTCCCCTTTTATAGATTAGGAAACTGAGACTCAGAGAGGACACCTGTCTTTCTTAGGTGATATGGCTTGGCTGTGTCCCCACTCAAATCTCATCTTGAATTCCCACGTGTTGTCAGAGGGACCCAGTGGGAGGTAACTGAATCATGGAGGCAGGACTCTCCCATGCTGTTCTCATGACAGTGAATACGTCTCATGAGATCTGATAGTTTTAAAAAGAAGAGCTCCCTGCACAAGCCCTCTCTTTGCCTGCTGCCATCCATGTAAAACGTGACTTGCTCCTCCTTGCCTTCCGCCATGATTGTGAGGTCTCCCCAACCATGTGGAACCGTAAGTCCATTAAACCTCTTTTTCTTCCCAGTCTCAGGTATGTCTTTATCAGCATCGTGGAAATGAACAATACATTAGGTCACATGGTTAACTTAGTGGAAAATGCTGGTCTAGAAAGCAGGTTGTTTGCCCTGTGTGTCAGTGGAATGACGTGAATCCTGCAGGACTCCGGAAGTTCAGCTGGTGGAGCTCTGTAGATCTCTGAGGGAGTCTACATGAGCCCATGTGAGGAAGCTTTGGTCTGAGATAGACAGATATATAGGCAGATAGATAGATAGATAGATAGATAGATAGATAGATAGATAGATGGAAAGGTAGGTAGGTAGGTAGGTAGGTAGGTAGGTAGGTAGATACACAGAAAATCTCACAAGTTTCTTTCTACCTTAAACCTTCCTAATTCATCCCAACTCACTTTCATCCCCTGCTGGTGGCATTGGGGAAAGCCTGTATGGAGTACATTTATAGCAATAGCTATACAGATTTCAAATGTGCATACTCTCTTTAATCCCGCAATTCCACCTCTAGGAATTTGTCCTTTACCCTGAAATATTGGATGTACAGTGTAATTTACTGCAGTCAGTCGGTACTGACAGCAAGAGCAAGAGGCTGGAAACACACTAAACACCCATTAGTAGGGGATTGGTGAAACAGACTGGAAACACCTAAAATGCTGCCAACCCCTCCCGCCCAATCTTCTGATCTAGAACTATCTCTAAGGTATAAGTGTTAGGTGGGAAAAAGCAAGATGCTTGAGAGAATGGAGTGTGTGCTACCATTTTGGAAATCAAGGGAAATATGTGTATGTGCATTTGACACTGGGCACTGGCTGCCCCTGGGGAGAACTGGATGGCCGGGGCAGGAGAGCACAGGTGGACGCTGCCCTGCACACCCGTTTGTACATTTTGAACACTGAAGTTTGTGAATGCTTTGACAATTCATCCATCAAGACTAAAATACGTGTCCCTGTCTGTCCTTTCTCACATTCCTTGTAGGCAGGTTGCAGTGCTACCAGGCTGCCGGGTGATGGACAGACGAGCACTGGAGATGTGTCTCGGCAGGATCCCCCGTCATACCCTCCCGTTCAGGTCATCCGGGTCCGAGTGTCTTCCAGCAGCTCCTCTGAGGTCCCCTCCATCAACTCTGACCTGGAGGTACACGGCTGTTGCCTGCTGGGCGGGTGCGTGGGTGCCATCATTTGCTGACACTTGCTGGGTGCTCCTGGGGCTCACACAGCTGTTCTCATCTTACCCACATTAACCTCACACCTGCTAAATAATGAATGAGGCTGGGCACGGTTGCTCACGCCTGTAATCTCAGCACATTGGGAGGCCAAGGTGGGCAGATCACCTGAGGTCAGGAGTTTGAGACCAGCCTGGCCAACACAGCGAAACCCCGTCTCTACTAAAAATACAAAAATTAGCTGGGTATGGTGGTGGGTTCCTGTAGTCCCAGCTGTTCAGGAGGCTGAGGCAGGAGAATCGCTTGAACCCAGGAGGTGGAGGTTGCAGTAAGCTGAGATTGTGCCACTATACTCCAGCCTGAGTGACAAGATCGAAATTCTGTCTCAAAAAAAAAAAAATTAATTAAAAATACAACTAAAAAAATACCTGGGTGTGGTGTCACGTTCCTGTAATCCCAGCTACTTGGGAGGCTGAGGCAGGAGAATCACTTGAACCCGGGAGGTGGAAATTGCAGTGAGTGGATATCACGCCACTGCAGTCCAGCTTAGGTGACAGAGCGAGACTCCGTCTTTAAAAAAAAAAAAAAAAAGTCTCAGTGTTTCTCAAACTAATTTACCCATGGGAGCTTTCTTCTTCCTGAGGAACACCAGCTGTATCCTACTGTGCTCATGGTGCCATACACAAGTGGGCCCTGCGGTGGGCATCATGGCTGACACTTGCATAAACTTTACCTCATTTTGAGTGTTTTTTTTTTTTTTTTTTTTTGAGATGGAGTCTCGTTCTGTCGCCCAAGGCTAAAGTACAGTGGTACAATCTCGGCTCACTGCAACCTCTGCCTCCTGGGTTCAAGCGATTCTCCTGCCCCAGCCTCTCAAGTATCTGAGACTACAGGTGCCCACCATCATGCCTGGCTAATTTTTGTATTTTGAGTAGAGTCAGGGTTTCACCATATTGGCCAGGATGGTCTCAAACTCCTGACCTTGTGATCCACCCACCTTGGCTTCCCAGCGTGCTGGGGTTACAGGGGTGAGCCACCGCACCCGGCCTTGAGTATTTCTATCTACTAATCACACACAGGCGTAGCTCTCTCTCTTGGTCCCACAGTTGTGGTTCCCAGCCCTATTCAGTGAGGAAGTTTCCATTTGTCGGTGGAAAAATGAGAACACAGGGACAATGTAGTGACCGCTTGTACGTCAGGAGACAGTTGCTAGCTGTCTTCGGCGGGGGAAGAGGACTGTCTTTCATTTTCAGTTTTTCTCATCCCAGCCGTCTTGGTGTTAAATGCCCTTTTGGGAAAGAATAGGAAGCAGTAGTTGGTGTCAAGTTTTTGGTTTGGGTTTTAATCGGCCTTATTTGGCCAACTAAAGTCCCCTAAGATTGGTTGAACTTGTACTGGCCCTTGAAATCTGAAACTCAGTAGCACTGACTGGGATGAAGTCTGGATTCCTCAGGGTGGCAGCTCTGGATTTTCACAGGCTGCTCAGCCTCAGGCGCCCCTGTCCTCACTGGGCGCACCGCCTGGCCATGGGCTGTTCTCTGGCCCCAGGCCTTTGGCCTCATTGCCACAGATCAGAATCTGACCCGGAGAATAATGGCTCCTTCCTCTGAGTGCCCGGAGCATATACCTTTTTTTTTTTTTTTTTTTTGAGACAGAGTGTCACTCGGTCACCCAGGCTGAGTGTATTTGCGTGATCTCTGTTCACTGTAACCTCTGCCTCCCAGGTTCAAGAGATTCTGGGTGCCTCAGCCTCCCCAGTAGCTGGGATTACAGATGCCCACACCACGCCTGGCTAATTTTTGTGTTTTTAGGAGAGGTGGGGTTTCACCATGTTGCCCAGGCTGGTCTCAAACTCCTGACCTCAGGCGATCCACTCAGTTTGGCCTCCCAAAGTGCTGGGATTGTAGGCGTGAGCCACCACACCTGGCCCCAGAGCACATACCTTTCTGACACCACTTCCACTGCTGGCCGTGTGCCCTGGTGAGCCATAGAGGCCTGGGTTATCTTCGAGTCTCTCTCCCTCCATCCTGGAGCACAGCTGGTCCCGGAGGGCTGGGTTTGAGTTGGGAATTCTGCATGCTTTGGGCTCGTACCCCTGTGTCATTCTGTGTTGTCTGGTTCTTGGATCTGGTCTCAGAATTTGTAGGGCACCCAAGGCACGTGGCTGGCAGCCTGGAGCCCACAGTCCTGGCAGAGATCTAAAGCTAAAGGGGAATGGAGTGAGCATGGCAGCAGGGTGCGCTCAGCGGGCAGGGACAGTGAGGTTGGTGAGTCTGGGGTGCGGTGGGAGAGGGAGAAGCATTATTTGCTCTGTGAAAACAAGGCTGAGGCTTGCCGCCCACCCTCATTTGGGCCGTTTTTCTGTTTTGCAGTCCTTCTTCTTTCTCTACTCTTCTCTCTCTCTTTTCTAGAAATCTATTGTTAAAAATATGTAAATTCCAGCTGGGCACAGGTGGCTCACACCTGTAATCCCAGCACTTCGTGAGGCTGAGGCGGGTGGATCACCTGAGGTCAGGAGTTTGAGACCAGCCTGGCCAACACGACAAAATCCCGTTTCTACTAAAAATACAAAAATTAGCCAGGTGTGGTGATAGGTGCCTGTAATCCCAGCTACTGGGGAGGCCGAGGCAGGAGAATTGCTTCAACCCGAGGGGGCAGAAGTTGCAATGAGCCGAGATCACACCACTGCGCTCCAGCCTGGGTGACAGAGTGAAACTCTGTTTCAAAGAAAAAAAAGTAAACTCCAAGAAGACAGGGCCACATACTTAAATGAGGCAAGTGGAAATGAATGGGTGTTGCCTGGTTCCACAGTGATGAGCGCCGGGGCCGGTATTTGAGCCCAGGCCCCTCACTTCCAGCCTGTTTCCACTGCACCATGCATAGCACCTTTGAGTGTCTCGCCAAAAGCCAACAGCACCCCCATCTGATCTTCCTAATCACTCTGTAATATAAAGAGAGCAGGGCCTCGTGATCTGCATTTCCAGAGGGAGAAAGCAACACCTGACGGGTCCAGGGCAGGCCCAAGGCCCAGACAAGCCCCTCTGTGCATCTCACTCCTGGGTCAAGGGTCTTTCCACTGCACAGCCCTGCTTCCCTTTGGGGCCCAATGAAGCATCTTTCTCATGCATACTTTTTTTCCCAGAACAAATGATTTGGCTTTAAAAAGGGCAGACATCTGGCCGGGCATGGTGGCTCACGCCTGTAATCTCAGTACTTTGGGAAGCCAAGGCAGGCAGATCACAAAGTCAGCAGTTCGAGACAAGCCTGGACAACATAGTGAAACCCCGCCTCTACTAAAAATACAAAAATTAGCCAGCTGTGGCGGCAGGCACCTGTAGTCCCAGCTATTTGAGAGGCTGAGGCAGGAGAATCTCTTGAATCTGGGAGGCAGAGGTTGCAGTGAGCTGAGACTGTGTCATTGCACTCCAGCCTGGGAGACAGACTGAGATTCCCTCTCAGAAAAAAAAAGCAGATATCCATATCCAGGGGAACATACCCTGATCTCTGCTGGTGCCAGAAAGTTTAGAGAGAAAACACAAGAGCCTTAGGCACAGAATCAGCAGGGACACATGGGCCTGCGACTTGGCCCTCTTCAGACAGGGCAATCTGGCATTTGGCCCTATTCTCATGGCCCACACAGGTGCATGGACATGCGTATGCACATGCACACACACACACACACGCACGCATACGCGCACATGCGCACGCGCACACACACGCACACGCACACCCACGCATGATTGCACTGGCCCCAGTCACAGGCATTCCCCAGTATGCAGACTTTGTTCCAATGACAGAAACAGCCTCTTTGCAGAATTCCTACAATGCTTATACCAGGTCTCTGGCATTGCTGGGAAGCACAGAATGAGAAAAATGACTAGATGCTGTAAATGTACTTTTGTCACCAAGGTGGACTGAACCTTTTCTTGAATCCCAGAGGCTAAAGAAAAAGAAGCCAGTAATCCCAGCACTTTGAGAGGCTGAGACAGGTGGATCACCTGAAGGCAGGAGTGTGGGACCAGCCTGGCCAACATGGTGAAACCCCGCCTCTACTAAAAATGCAAAATATTCGATGGGTATCATGGCGGGCACCTGTAGTCCCAGCCAGGACCTTCCCCACGCACCCAGACAGCTTTCTATTCTCTGGGTTTCTTTGCCTATCTGTCTTGTCCTCCTGCCTTTCACTGTCCTGTCTAAATCCTCCTTCTTCCAGGAAGCCTTTCCTGATCCTGAGTAGGGCTGCCAGATATAGCAGATAAGAAATACAGGCCACCGGCTGGGCGCAGTGGCTCACACCTGTAATCTCAGCACTTTGGGAGGCCGAGGCGGGCGGATCACGAGGTCAAGAGATCGAGACCACCCTGGTCAACATGGTGAAACCCCGTCTCTACTAAAAATACAAAAAATTAGCTGGGCATGGTGGCGCATGCCTGTAATCCCAGCTACTCAGGAGGCTGAGGCTGGAGAATTGCCTGAACCCAGGAGGCGGAGGTTGCAGTGAGCTGAGATCATGCCATTGCACTCCAGCCTGGGTAACAAGAGCGAAACTCCGTCTCAAAAAAAAAAAAGAAAAGAAAATACCATATAATTTTATTTATTAGTTTGGGGGTTGAGGAGAGACCTCAGGTATCAAAATTTGGGTTCACTGAACTCCATAGGCACACTGTCATTAGAGATTTATAAAGTAACTTTTAAAATATTGACTATCCCCACTAGAGGGCACTCTTCTTAAATTTTAGATTGCCCGTAACAGTGAAGATTTAAGATCTTAAGTTTTAAGATTTCATTTTAACACAGCTGGGGACTGGAACCTGTTTATTTGTTTGCTTGTTTGTTTGCTTGGCTTTAAATAAACTTTTTTTACTAAGTTAACTTTTTGAACCCTCCTTTATATCATCTACATTTCTGTCTTTTGCAGAGTGTGTGGAACAATCAATTTAGTAATTTGTATCTCTTCCAAACAATTTTTTTTTCAGTTTATGTTCCCTCAGCAGGATATTATTAAAAAGATGAATGCTAAGGAATTATCACTAATTTTGTTAGGTATAATAAAGTCATTGTGCTTAGTGGGTTTTTTTTTAAGTCCTTATCTATGAGATACATTTTGAAATATTTATGGATGGAATGATTTATACCTGGCTGGGCGTGGTGGCTCATGCCCGTAATCCCAACACTTTGGGAGGCCGAGGTAGGCTGATCACTTAAGGTCAGGAGTTCAAGTCTAGCCTGGTCAACATGGTGAAACCCCGTCTCTATTAAAAATACAAAAATTAGCCAGGCATGGTCATGGGGGCCTGTAATCCCAGCTACTCAAGTCGCTAAGGCAGGAGAATCGCTTGAACGTGGGAGGTGGAGGTTGCAGTGAGCCAAGATCATGCCGTTGGACTCCAGCCTGGATGACATGAGTGAAACTCCATCTCAAATAAATAAATAAATAAATAAAATGAAAATTAGGTCAGGTGCAGTGGCTCGTGCCTGCCTGGGCAACAAGAGTAAAACTCCATCTCAAATAAATAAATAAATGAAATCAAATAAAAATTAAGCCAGAGGCAGTGGCTCATGCCTGTAATCCCAGCACTTTGGGTGGCTGGGGTAGGATTGCTTGAGCTCAGGAGTTTGAGACCAGTCTGGGCACCAGAGGGAGACCTCATCTCTACTAAAAAATAAAGGGCCGGGCGCGGTGGCTCACGCCTGTAATCCCAGCACTTTGGGAGGCCGAGGCGGGTGGATCACAAGGTCAAGAGATCGAGATCATCCTGGTCAATATGGTGAAACCCCATCTCTACTAAAAATACAAAAAATTAGCTGGGCATGGTGGCGCATGCCTGTAATCCCAGCTACTCAGGAGGCTGAGGCAGGAGAATTGCCTGAACCCAGGAGGCGGAGGTTGCAGTGAGCCGAGACCGCGCCATTGCACTCCAGACTGGGTAACAAGAGCGAGACTCTGTCTCAAAAATAAATAAATAAATAAATAAATAAATAAATAAATAAATAAATAAAAATTAGGCAGGCATGGTGGTACACACCTGTAGTCACAGCTACTCAGGAGGCTGAGGCAGAAGGATCACTTGAGCCCAAGAGGTGGAGGCAGCAGTGAGCTATGACCATGTCAGTACACTCCAGCCTGGGTGGCAAAGCAAGCCCCTCTCTCAAATTAATTACTTTTTTAAAAATGAAAAATTTAAAGAGTTGAACATTGTTTTAATGTGATAATAACCCTAAATCCTGTGGACTGTTCAGACTGCCTGCTATTTAACAGACACGTACAGGTCAATGTAACAGATACTCATAGATTCTTAGCTCTATGTCAGAAACATATGTTTCCTGCCAGGCATGGTGGCTCATGCCTGTAATCCCAGCACTTTGGGAGGCCGAGGTGGGCAGATCACAATGTCAGGAGTTTGAGAACAGCCTGGCCAATATGGTGAAACCCTGTCTCTACTAAAACTACAAAAATTAGCTGGTTGTGGTGGCAGGCACCTGTAGTCCCAGCTACTCAGGAGGCTGAGGCAGTAGAATTGCTTGAACCTGGGAGGCAGAGGTTGCCGTGAGCAGAGATCATGCCATGGCACTCCAGCCTGGGCAGCTCAGTGAGACTTCGTCTCAAAAAAAAAGAAACGAAACATACATTTCCCAGGTGCTGCAGGAGGTGCTGGAGTAACAAGGGCAGACGTGACTCCCCAGGAATTTGAGTCAGACATAGTTGAGGTTTGGAGTGGGACCAACCATGCAGTAAACACTGACTACAAATGAATCTTGGCTGGTACCAAATACCCTGTTTTCACAAGGCAGGGATTTTATTGGCATCTCTTTCTTAGTTTTATGGGTTTGAGTTGAATCATGTCAACCATGTGGTTAATAAATGAGAGATTTATTATTATTACTACTACTTCTAATAATTTCTACTAACGGTAATTTTTAAATCTTGATAGATTATAATTTTTCCCAGGACATGCAGCCTTTCATAATTATCATAACTATCTCATTGATCATTTAGCTAAATTGCAACTGCTAGGAGCTGCTGCCTTCCTGCTTGCTGAAGTCACCTGTCGCTTTTCCCCCAGCCATCTAAGGGCCTGTCTCCTGGCTCACTGAGCAGAAAGGCTGGCCCCGAGCTCTGCTCTGCTATGTGATGGTGGCAAAATCTGTCCAACGCTTTTCCTATCTCTCTTTTTATTCTACAGCAGAAGTATTGGGAGGCCCTAAACTCGGAGCAGGTATGGACAGTCATGCTTTTTCTCTTCCAGGAGGGATTTACCTGTGGCTTGATTTCAGTTCCTGTTTTTGTGAGACCTCCTTAGATGGCTGGCCCCATGACGAATTCCTTTAGTAAAAAAAAAAAAATGTTGGCCAGACACAGTGGCTCTTGCCTTGTAATCCCAGCACTTTGGGAGGCCGAGGCAGGCAGATCACCAGGTCAGGAGTTCAAGACTAGCCTGGGCAACACAGCAAATCCCATGTCTACTAAATTATAAAAAATTAGCCAGGCATGGCAGCTTGTGCTTGTAATCCCAGCTATTCAGGAGGCTGAGGCAGGAGAAGCACTTGAACGTGGGAGATGGAGGTTGCAGTGAGCCGAGATGGCACCCCTGCACTCCAGCCTGGGTGACGGAGCAAGACTCTGTCTTGAGGAAAAAAAAAGTCTCAAATGAGAGGCAAGACTGAGGATCCATGGGATTTTCAGGGCTCTCTCAGTTCTGAGTTCTGCTTTGTGGGTATTCAGGTAAGCCCAGGCTATCTAGTAGGGACTCCCAAGAAGGTGTGTAACCCAGTGAAGAAACATAGTTTGGAACAATAGTAGTAGCGGCAGACGTGCCTGCAGCAGCTGTGGCAATAAACAGTTCCGCACATTGTCATTCTGGGACCCTGGGCAGCTGGCGCTGTCTCTATGCCACCCTTGCCTCTAGGTGACAGATGGACACGTTTTGTACAACCACCTGTGCCTGTCGTCTCCTAGGATTGTTTCTGGTATGAAAATGGATCATCTTAGCCGGGCGCGGTGGCTCACGCCTGTAATCCTAGCACTTTGGGAGGCTGAGGTGGGTGGATCACCTGAGGTCAGGAGTTCAGGACCAGCCTAGCCATCATGGTGAAACCCCCATCTTTAAAAAATTTTAAAAAAATTTTTAAAAAGAAAATGGATTATCTTTTGCTCAGATTCTCTTCATGCCTGGTTTCCAGCAGTGGTTTTATTATAAAATGAAGTTTTAGGTTGGGCGCAGTGGACCCCGCCTGTAATCCCAGCACTTTGGAAGGCTGATGGGGGCGGATCACCTGAGCTCAGGAGTTGGAAACCAGTCTGGCCAACATGGGGAGATCCCCGTCTCTACTAAAAATACAAAAATTAGCTGGGTGTGGTGGCACGTGCCCTATACCAGTTTAAAGGCTCATTTGATCAAAGGGACAAGTTGTTTCTGTTTGCAGGCACCTGAACTGGTCAGGGTTGGCAAGAATAATTCTTAAGCAGCCATTTAAGAAGCGAGAACAGCGGTTTTCAATTATCAGGACATCTAAGAATCACTCTAGGAGCTTGTAAACATGCTAAACCTTAGGTCTCAACCCCCTACCTGGGGGCTAGGGTGAGCCCCCAGCATCAGTGGGTTTTTGTTTTGTTCTCTTTTGTTTTGAGACGGAGTCTTGCTCTGTCACCCAGGCTGGAGTGCAGTGGTGCGATCTCAGCTCAGTGTAACCTCCATCTCCCGGGTTCAAGCGATTCTTCTGCCTTGGCCTCCTGAGTAGCTGGGACTACCGGCACCTGCCATCACACCGGCTAATTGTTTGTAATTTTAGTAGAGGTGGGGTTTCACCATATTAGTCAGGATGGATGGGCTCCAACTCCTGACCTCATGATCCACCTGCCTCGGCCTTCCAAAGTGCTGGTGTTACAGGCGTAAGCCACCGCACCCAGCCGGCATCGGTGTTTTCAGCCAGCAGCCTGGGTGCGTCTGGTGTGACTGGCCAAGTACATACTCTGACAACAATGATCTAGGTCTCAGACCTCAGCTGGGAAACAGTTTTCATCAAAGAGCACACTGGCCATCCTCAGAGAACAGAACGGGGCCCTACTTCTTTTACTGGGGAGGTGGGTCATGTAGGCTGAAGGGCCTGGTGGGTGCTTTTATTTGGGATCTGATAGTGTCAGAAAGGAGTTTAGTTAAAGGGCTCCAGCCAGGTCTGCAACCGCAAGTTAATGAGATGTTTGCACTTTGAAGTGGCTGGCACAAACAGGTACAGGGGATGAGCGGCACAGACCAAGTCACTGCAGGGTCACTGGGGATCAGGTGGTCTTTTAACATGATGGCTTTTTAAATCACCAAGTATTAGAACTCGATTCAGTTATTATCAGTGCATCACTAACAAACTGGGCTCTTTATTTCTGTTCAAAACAAAGCCGCAACTTGTGTTTTATAATTGCCATGGCATGGGCATGACGTCAGTGGCTCAGGGGGCCTTCAAGATCTTCTCTGGGACCTCTAAGGATCGGAATGTTTGATTCCACTTCAGTTTGAGCAGCGTTGGAGCATCTTTCTTGGGGTGCATGTCCATGCCTGGCTCTGTTATCTTGTCCAAATAGATCATCTGCCCAGGCAGACACATCCTATGTCAGCTTTGCTGGTTGTTTCCTGGTACTGTCGAATGTGACCTTTTGCCTCAGAATCATCAGAGAGGCTCAGAAATGGGAGAGATCTTCTTATCTAGGTGCTGATCCAATACCACAGCTTACACATGGGGAAACTGAGGCCCCAGAAAACGAAGGCAAATTAGTGAAAGGAGGAGGACTTGAGCCCAATCCCTACGTGCCTCCATGGCTGGAACTCCAAAGGTAACACTAAGGAGCCCCTTGGGCTCTAATCCATCGTATCAGAGCAACGGGAGGACTTTGCAGACAGCCTCGTCAACGCTTATGTGCCCACCTGTTTTTGTTTGTTTTTGTTTTGAGATGGCGTCTCACTCTCACCCAGGCTGGAGTGCAGGGGCGCAATCTCAGCTCACTGTAAACTCCACCTCCCGGGTTCAAGTGATTCTCCTGCCTCAGCCTCCCGAGTAGCTGGGACTACAGGCACGCACCACCATGACCAGCTAATTTTTGTATTTTCAGTCGAGGTGGGGTTTCACTATGTTGGCCAGGATAGTCTCGATCTCTTGACCTCATGATCCACCTGCCTCGGCCTCCCAAAATGTTGGAATTACAGGTGTGAGCCACCACGCCCAGCATGCTCACTTGTTTTAGCTTTTCACTCTTAACCCAGCGAATTTTAATTTCCCATACTCATCTGAGTCAGTGATGAAATAGTCACTGGCAGTGCCCACCACTCTGAATTGAGTTTTAAGTGTTGACAAGTCTGCTGAGCCTCAGGTTTAGAGGAAGCACCATGTAGGAGGCAAGAGCGAACCTTTGCTGTGTTCCTGAGGAGCTCATCTACCTGAGACAAGGCAGATGTCCAAATAAATGTCAGGGCTGTCTGTGCTCAGGTGCAAATGAGTGCACTAGGTAATACAAAGCAAGATGCAGGTGCGAGCTCAATGGGCTAACGCAGTCAGGACAGGCTTCCTGAAAAGGTATTTACCTGGCCCAAAAAGAACAGGCTGAAGCTGGGCGTGGTGGCTTAATCCTGTAAAAGCTGAGCACTTTGGGAGGTGAGGAGGGCGGACTGCTTGAGTCCAGGAGTTCAAGATCAGCCTGGACAACATTGCAAGATTTTATCTCTACTAAAAATTAAAAACCTAGCCAGGCATGTAGTACATGCCTGTAGTCCCAGCTACTCGAGAGGCCGAAGCAGGAGGACTGCCTGAGCCCAGGAGTTTGAGGCAGCAGTGAGCCATGACTGCACCACTGCACTCCAGCCCGTGTGACAGAGCAAGACCTTGTCCTGAACAAATAACATAAAAAAGGATTAAGTTTGCCTGCTTTTTTTCCAGGAATGAGTTAGGCATGGAGTCAGGATAAACAGAACATGACTCAGTCTTACTAGACAAGGACTTGGTAGAGGCAGAGAACAGTGGAAAATGAGGGTCGGAAGAAAGTGAGCTATTATGTTTTGGGTGGATGCTCATTAGTTCCGTGATTTAAAGTTATGGTTGCCTCCTTAGGTCCTAGAAACACAGGCCTGGGTGACTCGTCCTTACCCGTTTGTCCTCGTTTGTGCCTGGATCATGAGAAACGGGATTGGAGCTGTTGTTTGGGGGGTCCAACAGATGAGAAGCATCCGTGCCACCCGGGTACCCTTTGTATCTTGTCTCCACAGTGGGACCCTGAGGATGTGAACCTTGAAGGGAGCAAAGACAACGTGGAGATACTCGGATCCCAGGTGCACTGGGACTCTGTGAGGACAGCAGACCTGAGTGCTGATGATTAACACCTTTGGAGCCAGCTGACCAGCTCAGAGCCCAGCATCAGGAATGTGTTCAGTAATGCAGTGGGAATCAATCTGCACTGACTCTGTAGTAGGAATTGAAGCTGCTGCAGAAGCTGCCCTGGAAAGTGAGGAACCAGGAGCCCCCACTGAGTGCGGCTGGTCGACATCATAGCTCATGATGGAGCTAAAACTTGTTCTGTAGACAGACCTGGACAGGGCCGGCATTTGTTCTGAAGATTACAAGTTTACAGACAGCGCTTGCTTTGTAAAGATAATCCAAAGGACATTGGACCCGCTTTTCCCTTTATTCCCTTGAGATTTGGCCATAAACTGAATACCTGCTAGGTTCCAGGAAGACTTTTTTCTTTTTCTTTTTCTTTCTTTTTTTTTTTTTTGAGACGGAGTTTTGCAGACTGGAATGCAATGGTGCAATCTCGGCTCACTACAACCTCCACCTCCAGGGTTCAAGTGATTCTTCTGCCTCAGCCTCCCATGTAGCTGGGATTACGGGCATGCATTACTACGCCCAGCTAATTTTGTATTTTTAGTAGAGACCAGGTTTCTCCATGTCGGTCAGGCTGGTCTTGATCTCCCGATCTCAGGTGATCCGCCTGCCTTGGCCTCCCAGAGTGCTGGGATTACAGATGTGAGCCACTGCACCCAACCATGAGTTAACCTCACAAATAGCACATGTGTTTGGATCTCAGCAGAGCCCATTCTGGAAGACCTAGCTGAGCCAGATGAAAGGGTGGGCCCTGTGCTGGGGGGCCTGGGGCACACACAGGAACCAAGACCTGGCTTCTGCCCCTGAGTCACCCACTTGAGTTATCTGCTGGAAGTTATAGATAGGACTGTGTGGCCAGCCAAGTGTTTGTGAGATCACTGACACTGCAAAACGAAGCAGACTGTGCTGGGTACCAGGACTTCTCCAACCTGGCAAGGTGCGTGCTGAGGTGGGGTTTGCAGGTCAAGGGGACTGTAGGCTTCAGGAACTAACCAAATGCATATGGAGGCTAAGAGGCATCATGGGAGGTGTTCAAGCACAACAATCCCTTTGGGGGATGATTTGGATACTGCCAGGATTGAGGGAAGGGTGCAGGGAATGGGGCTAAGGTGGGAGCAAACACTGGGGTGAATAAATTCTTTTTACAGAAATTCAAGTGTCTTCGTGTGGAGTGCAATGGTAAGTATGAATCCCTGCACAGTCACAGAAGTCTGCCCTGAGAGGAACTGGGAGAAATGCCAAGCAACACAGTTCTGCTCTGGGCTGGCCCACAGCCACCTGTGTGACTCAGCTGTAGCAGCCCCGTTTCTCCCGAGAGGCAGCGCAATTTCCGGCAGCATGACGCGGGTGCTTTGGGGAAGTAGGCTGGCTCTGCAGGTCTCTGCATGAATCCTAATGCCCCGGGTGACCTCTGAACTACAAGTGATCTTAAAGCCGCCAGGGTTTCCCCTTTATCTGAACTGTGTTGGTCCCTGGTTGTCTTGGAAAGTTTGTTGAAGTCAGTTTTGCTTTGTGATGTTAACCACTGAAGCTGTACTTCCAGGGAAGAGGAAGATTTGAATGGAGGCCCAGGATGCGGGGAGAAGAGTGTTCAAACAGATGAAAGCACAGAGGGCCGGATGCTGGGGAAGGTGGGAGTGAGCAAGGCAGGAAGGATCTGAGATGGCCAGAATGGATGATGCAGGATGGGCTGTAGGGGTGGGCAGAGGCTGAAAAGGAACCAGACTCTGGAGGCTGCTGAGTCAGTGCCTGGTTCTGTGGCCAACTGTTAGCTGTGGGAGACAGCAGAGTAGGAAGGTGACTGACTTGCCTCTGGCAGACCACAACTGATGGGTGAGTTTTTCATCCCTAAGGCTACAACATTCCAGGACCCAGAAATGTCATGGGTACAGAACGAACATCGGAAAGAGGTTTAATCTAAAGTACTGAGTGGTAACAGCAGAGCAGAAGAGCTTATCTTTAGAAAGGCAGAATGTGTGGGGATAGGATGACTTCTGGAGTTTGCCTTTAGCCTACCCTCTATTTTGAGGAAAGTCTGGATCATGCTCTCTGGGGCACCAAAATTGGTTGGATCCAGGTGAAAGTGGCCATTCACCCAAGAACATCAAATGATCTTGGCCAGGTACCGTGGCTCACGCCTGTAATCCCAGCATTTTGGCAAGCTGAGGTGGGCAGATCACTTGAGGACAGGAGTTCAAGACCAGCCTGGCCAACATGGTGAAACCCTATCTTTACTAAAAACACAAAAAAATTAGCCAGGCGTGGTTGGGGTTTCCTGTAATACCAGCTACTCAGGAGGCTGAGGCAGGGGAATCACTTGAACCCAGGAGGCAAAGGCTGCAGTGAGCAGAGATCAAGCCACTGCACTGCAGCCTGGGAGACAGTGTGAGACTCCATTTCAAAAAAACAAAAAATTAGCCAAGCCTCGTAGCCCACGCCTGTAGTCCCAGCTGCTTGGGAGGCTGAGGCAAAAGAATTGCCTGGACCCAATAGGCAGAGGTTGCAGTGAGCTGAGAATGCACCACTGCACTCCAGCCTGGGCAATACAGCAAGACTTTGTCTTAAAAAAACAACAAAGGCTGGGCACGGTGGCTCAAGCCTGTAATCCCAGCACTTTGGGAGGCTGAGGCGGGTGGATCACGAGGTCAAGAGATCAAGACCATCCTGGTCAACATGGTGAAACCCCGTCTCTACTAAAGATACAAAAAAATTAGCTGGGCATGGTGGCACGTGCCTGTAATCTCAGCTACTCAGGAGGCTGAGGCAGGAGAATTGCTTGAACCCAGGAGGCGGAGGTTGCGGTGAGCGAGATCGCGCCATTGCACTCCAGCCTGGGTAACAAGAGCGAAACTCCGTCTCAAAAATAAAAAATAAAAAAAAAAAATAAATAAATAAACAACAAAAGCCTTGCTGACTGAATAACACGAACTACCGAAGGTCCAAATATTATCTATCTCCCTAGATGCCATCAGCCCAGCCTCCTCCCTTCACAAACTAGTTTTTATCATCATGGTCCCAGCTTGTCTCAAGGGTAAGTCTCAAGCCTTTTCATGCACAGTGAATCACAAAACTGGGAATTCTGGAAGCAAGGTTTGGCTTCATTGTTCAACAAGACTCTTCCTGTACACAAAACTCCAGAACACTGCAGCCTCTGTGAAGAGACGCCAATCAAAATGCCTTTCTCCTAGTAGGAGGGGGCCTCTGTTACAGCTTTGTCTCTAGTCCTTAGACCAAGAGGGCAGTGGGAGTAACTTGCCCCAGTGACCAGTGAGCAGTGCACGGGCTTACCTACACTAGGGAGGGGCTAGGGAACAAATGATGTAATCATCTGCTCACCCACCTGGAGATGTGTAATACTGTCTGGTTGTGCTGCCCATCCTGTGTGGCTTGCAGCATGTTACCTAACCTTTGTGAACTCCTTAGGTAGACTAAGAATAATACCAATCTAGAAAGGTGAAGACTAAGTGAAATAACGTGAAAATGCAAACATAATACCTATTCAAAGTAGACTCTGAAGAGGGATTAGTGTTCTTCCCCTGCCCCACACACCGTGCTTCCTGCACACATCTGCTGAAAGACAGTAACCAAATAATCAGACCTATAGACGGAAGATTTCAGAGGTTTGAATTCCCTTAAACACAACTCCAATTAGTGATTATTCGGTCCCTACTTAAGCTACTCTAAAAAAAGGATTTCACCTATTTCAGGTGCCAAAGTCTTTATCGTTTAGTGAGAGCTCTGCTAAGATTTTCTTAAAAGCCTGTCTAGATCCAGAAGAACAAATCCCCTCATCTTCCTCCCTCAGTATGATGAAGAGATTTATGAGTGTCATTTGAAGACACACTCACAATATGTTTCTTTCAAAGGGGTATGAGCTCCTAGAGTAAGAAGAGGCACTGGGCCAAGGAGCATGGCTAGACTCCAGTTCCCAGGTCTGATGCAGTGTGATCTTTGTCATTTCCCTATGTCACAGTTTCCTCATCTGTAAAATGAAAGTTGGGTCTGATTTTTTTTTCATTTTTTCTCTTTTATTAATGTGCCAATTTGTTTCCCACAGCATACTAACATCTTTAAAACTCGCAGGAAAGAGATTGTAAACAGAAATTTCAGCTATACTTTGAAAATAGGTTTCGTTTTGTTTTTAATCTTAGGAAAATTTATTTAAAAAAAGAAAATAGATTTCATGTACCTTTTCTTATATACCTATAACATACACCTCTTTCTGTTTGAATTTTACTATCCACTTGAGATAAAAACGTGTATCAATCACTAAGGAAAAGGCTAGAGGACACTTAGAAATATCTCTAGAATAATTTTGCAACAATTCCAAGATTCTCTGCACTTCTTTTTCTGTCCCTTAATTAGCCTTCTCTGTATTTTCCAACTATGGAGGTATTGCTGTACTCTCTTCGATTTTACATTGTTTTCGATGCTTTGCAAGGAAACTCTGCCTTGAACGAACCCAAGACATAGTACAATGTTCAGGAAGATCTCCGAGTTTACACCTGCCTGTATGATATCCCAAAAGTCGTCATCTCGGTGACAGGCACGACCTTAGAGAATAAAGAAGTTCAAGGAATGGTGCTCCCTTAAATGACTTAGCGTTAGAAAATACTGACTTTGTGGCCAGGCGCGGTGGCTCACGCCTGTAATACTAGCACTCTGAGAGGCCAAGGTGGATCACCTGAGTCAGGAGTTCAAGACCAGCTTGGCCATGGTGAAACCTCATCTTAAAAAAAAAATTTTTTTTAATAAAAAATAAGAAAGAAAAGACTGACTTTGCTTTTTCTTTTATCAACCCTGGAAGCCAAATAAGGCAACTGGGCATTCAGGACTTCTTTTGAGCAAAACACGTGATTAATACGCGATTACACTGAGTTAGCTTCTTTAAGACCAGAACACGTAATTACACAGACTTAACCTCTTCAATAGCCTCTCTTAATCTGTCGCTTGGAAAACGCTGCATAATGT